AATCATAAAATGATTTATGACAGAATTCGGTACCATACATAACAACATTTTTTTTTTGTTCATTGAAAGCTCCTAAATTTTGGTTCGGAAACCAGATTTATGCCAGCAATATGCAAAAATGAAACTAACATGCTGCTTCCAGAACAATCTTTCCATTTCTCCACCTCAAAAAATTATTGATGAAAGTAAATTACTCAATTAAAAAATAATAGCAGAGAATTAAGTAGGTGAAAGGGTTGCTTGCAGATTTGATGAAATTTAATTCCACTGTTAATTTCATATAAAAGAACTATTAACACTGAAAATAAGAATTTAATGCCATTATTAAAAAACTTCATAATTTTGATTTGATTGCATTACTATTCCACAGATCTTCTAGCATAGGATCAAATAATGAATATGAAGTATTTTCTGCAAATAACCACCACTGATGTTTGATATTTAAATCAAGAAACACTAATTATTGTATATGGAAAAAAAGAAAAATAAATGTTACTGAAATAAAGTCAACTTTCTGGAGATGTATGAAAAAGATACTTCAACCAAAATTGAAATCTTCCACATATGAATATTTCCGAGGTAATGAAGCATGTATATCTGAACAGTGTTTAGCCTTTTACTCTACTAATTTTGTGTGCAAAAAGAGATTTAAAAAAAATTCGTATTCCAGTACTAAAATGATTTTGGAATAATCCAGAATTTAATCTATATTTCTGATTAAAGAATCTTAAGTAGAAACAAGTCATTAATAAAACCTAATTAATTAAGCAATAACTCAGTCTTGGTTTCACATTATAATACAGTACAAAGTATTTAATCCAGATGTCCATAATCCGGACCTCAAAGCTACAAACTTTCTGTACATGCGTAGCGTTTACGCATGCGCATAATAGCTTTATGCAGGCACATATGCATTTATGCATGCGCATAAGACCTTTATGCAGGCGCATATGCGTTTATGCATGCGCATAAGATGTTTACGCATGTGCATTTAATGTATAACGGAGGGTATAAGCTAGGCTAAAATTATCTAATTATCTATTTTAGTTAATGTTGCAGACTGCGTTGTTCCTTAATCTTCTAATTGGATCCGGCTTATTATTTTTTGCAGACTGTAAGAGCAATTTTATAAAATGTAAGCTTGAACTTCCGATTATGTCAAAAAGAGTTTCCGATTCTGCAGCTGCCAAAGGATCTACAATGGGAAAGCATGTTTTGATGTCCCTCAAACAAAAAGTGGAATTGCTGCAAAAATTGGATGAAATGGCATGAAGAAAGTGACAGAGGTTAGCGAAAATGGAAAAATTTCGATTGATAAGTTAGTCGGTAATCTCGGCACAGCAATTACAGGACTTGAACAGCGGAACTTTGTAACTGAACAAGAAATTATGTCTGTTTATAGAATTAAAGAGAAAGTACTAGCACATAAATTGAAGCAACTTAAAACAACTTACATTGAAAGAAATGTTTTTTTAATAAAGTAAACAAATAAATATTAACCTTTTTTTTTTTTGGTAAATTTTGATACCATTTAGATCATAATTGTTCTTTATTTCTTAAATTACGGTTTCATATTTTTAATTTTATAATTTCTGCATGCCATCTTACCAGATTTAAATTGATGATCTATAATCTGGAAAAACCCCTAATCCGGAATCGCCAAAGTTCCGACAAGTCTGGATTAAAGGATTTGTACTGTAGCTGCAGAGGTAAAAAAAAAAAAAAAAACTGGTTTACTCATTGAGAAGGCATTATAAGACCATCATTAACAATAAAGATTTCAGATTTAAGTAATAACTGACATGGGGAGAATTTTTGTATACTTCATTTTCTGTGTTTTAATTTTCTTTTTTCATAATTGCTGCTTTTATAACAATATTTCTTGTACATGTTATTGTGTTACATTATTGATTAATTTATATTTTCAATGATATATAATTTTGAAGTAATTAAAAAAATGGTTTTAACTATCAAATTTCACATATGTACTTTTCAAAAAGGTTTCCACAACTGTGGACACTAATGTAATGCTTTTATTTCAGAGCCTGTAAACAAGAATAAAATTTGCTAGGCAATCAGCATAAAGTTAAGTTCACATTAAATAAACTTAACTTTCGAAAAATATTTTACAAATAGTGACTTATTAAAATATGTTAATTAAATTTATGTAAATTAAGAGATTAATATATTAATAATTCTACATTACCGTAATTTAATGATTTGAAGTTAAAGCACAAATTATTTTTATAAATTATCCTGATTTCTATAAAACATAGGAAGGAAAAAATTATAACCAATATTGAACACAAGCAACTAAGAATTTCTATAAGTCAGAATAACCTGCTTACTAGGTTAACCTTTTCCTTTAAAAATATAAAAAATACTTTACTTGTATGCGTGAAGCTCTTAAATCAAGTAAATGCGAGTATTCTTCCAGCTTAGTTTGAAATTCTTTTTCTTGTTGTTCAATTTTTTCAGTAAGCAATTTCAGTTCATTTTGGGTCACTTGGTTTATATTGCATTGAGCTACAAGCATTTCTCTAACATTATTGAGTTCTTTAGTAGTCTCTTTAAGTTCAGATTCACTCTAAAACAGCAAATAAATAAAAATTACATTGTTCATTGAAACTTAAAATGCTATTAAAGTAAATAAAATGTTCATTTATATAAATTTTATATTAAAAAGGTTGTTAAAATAAATTAATATTTTACAGTATATGTACTTTACATATAAATAATTTAAACTTTTGCATATTTTATTTATATGAAAATTTTCAGTTAAAATATGGATATTATTATTATAAGGGCACAGCTCCAATCCTTTTAGCTGGCACAAGCCAGCCATATGATCAAAACATGGGACTGGCCAGAAAAAATAATATGGATATTATGAATGCAAACTTTTTAATTCTAAATTTTTAATTTCCTGCAATGACAAAGTAGACACAATACATATTTATCCTAGTCTGAAGATCATAAAAGAGTAGGAAAACCTGTTAATCAGAAACATAGCAATACCTCATTCTTGGAATATATTACGTGAAAATGATCCTAGAAAATGGTACCTATAGAACATTTTTGAGTTTATCAAAGGACACAACAGAATTCGGCACTTCCTAGTTTTACAAGTGACTGCAGTGCCAAGAAAAAAAAAGGTCACTGAATTTACTTATCATATTCCCCAACAGAAAAACAATGCTTTTAATAATGCAGTTTTTACTAAAAAGTTAAAAAAAATTCCTACCCCCCAAAAAAACTGCAGTTTATTTCTCAGGAGGGCATAAACCAGCAATAGCATCTTACTCACTGTCAGAAAAGTGATTTTTAAAACAGACAATGCAAAGGCCATTTTTTTCGGCAATCTTTTTTTTTTTTTTTTTTTTTTTTTTTTTATCTCAACATGGCTTTTGTGGTGGTATGCAACTTCATTTCATGCCTCTTTTCACAAATTCAGATAGACAGTAAAATATCCCTTTCTTGGAAAAATGCAAGAATGCAATACCTTCATTTTTGTAATTAAAAATTATCAGTTTACATCAAAAAATTTGTTTCAAGAGATTTTACTATTCTTATTACTTGTTTTAGGTTTGCAATATTGTTTGGCAACACTGTCAAATTTGATGATTAATATTACACACTACAAGTAAAACAAACATGTAACTAGAATTTAATTAAGATAGAAATCATAAAATTTTGTTAATCATAATATAATCAGATAACCATTTAGCTGTGTGATTCGTACACTAAAAAAAACCATTTAATTTTCAGAATGCTTTATATTTCACCCTCTTTTAATTCAAATAATTCATTAAAGATGATTTAATAAATGCTATTACACAATATCTTGTAATATGTTATTTATAGAATTTTTCACAGCTCTCAAATAATTACTAATGCACAACTGGTAGTTCAGAAAATGCTCTAATCTTTACCTTAGTTATTATAATAAATAGAAAACTCAATTTTTCCATTTTTAAAAATTTAAATTACCTTTTCTAATTTCAGTTTTAGTTCTTCCATTTCTTCTTCAGAAATTTTATTAGCAAACACCAGTTTTTCTTCTTTTTTCAATCTGAGAAGATTTACTGCTTCAGCCAATTCATCAAAACCTACTCCTTCCTACAAAAAATTATACATACATATAATGCTTTGCAGCTGCAAAATTAAAAAGTAAAACTTGATATTTACTTAGCACCAAATATAGTAAAAAAAGTACTATAGTAAATAAATTACTTACTATGCACATAACAATTTCTATTATGATTAGCTTCATTATAATAACAGGCCATTCCATTACAATCACCACTGTAAGAAGTCTAAAATGTTTCCTGAATTGTGCAATGTTATTTTTGTATCCCATATAATGATTGGTTACGAAGAATTATTTACTCCGATGCAATATCTGAATTCATCTCCTCCCAGTTTTTTTCCCTCAAGAACCAAGTTTGGCCTTAACCTTCACAACAGCTACATAGTTTTTATCAAATCAAGAGATTTGTTCTCATTTGCAATACATTATTTTCTCATTTACAAAATTTTGTTCTCTTATTTTCTGTTATGATCTAAATATTATCTTCGAACAGAAGATTGGAAAAACAAAGAGCAAAGTTTGCAATTACATAAACCTAGTTGTAATTGCAAACTTTGTAAAGACTTTGTAATTGCAAACTTAATAAAACAGCTTTTAAATATCTGGTCTGCTCAGAGGGTTAAATGTGTATTTAAAACTGAGCTTTGTGTTTCGCTGAATTCTGAATGTAAACAAACAACTTAATCATCAAAGCTTATGAAAGAGGAAATAATGGGCCAAGAACTTCTCACAATGTGATCAATAAGAAGGAAGCATGAATGCAGCTGACTTCAGGATGGATTAGACAAGTTATCAAAGTATACACTATCAGCACATGGCAAGGAACTGATAGTGCCCAATATACATTCACTTCCATTTGAACAGAATGGAAAATGAACAAATACATGGATTTATGCTGAAACTTAATTGTGCAAAGCTGCATTTAACAAGATGGCTAAATAATAAGATAATGCAATGCCTCCGATTTAAAAAAAAAAAAAAACTGACAAATATTAACCCAAAATTTTTGTCAATATCAAATTCCTGAATCGTTCAACATCCCCAAAACACCCTATCCCTAAACACACCTTAAAACACCTACAACCATTAAAAACCTGAATTCAATTTGAAGGATGAAGAATTAGGATCTCTTTTTTTCCAAAACGGAAATTTAATAATTTCGGGGGGGGGGGGAAGTATGGGTAATTAAAGATAATGTGATCGAAAAATAAATACTCCACTACATAGAAAACTGCTATAAACTAAAGCCTGCATTTTTTTATAAAACTATTATGAAGCAACACCTATTTAAAACTTTAGATGAATAGCTAGACATGTTTAAAGTAAGACAATGTATTGCAGGGAAAGAAACTCTGTCAACTAAGAAACAGCAGAAAATGAACTGAAGAACATATTTAACAGGCATACCACAGAAAACATAGTTACTGCAGATGAGAAGGGGCTAATTTTAAAGCGATACCTTACAGATCTTTAATTTTAAAATGTAGAAAGAAAAATGCAAGCAATAAGTAATGATTATCCTTTCTGTCACTATATTAGTCCCAAAAAAACTTCCATTTAAATGAATGGAAAATCCAGAAATTGCTGGTGCTGCAGAAACTTTGAATGGACTTACTTTGAAAAATTATTTCCTGGTAGAATGCATTCATTTCAAGATAGATTCAAAATGGACGTTTTGCAGCACTTTTAACAATGAGGCACCATTTAGAACAAATGAAAAAATAAATGCAAGATAACAGATATAAATGACAACCATATTGCCTTTTTCAAAATCAGCACTCTTAATTCCATAAAAGAGGAATACTAAGTCTTAGACACAATTATAGGAAACTTCTTTACAGAAAAGTAATCTTTATACTGCATGAGGATACAATTTACAACAAGAGTATTTTTACAGCATTGGAACTTTCTACAGCAGTAGAAGAATGTAGTTTCAGAGTAGTTAAAAATCACTAAAATTTACTTTCACCATGCAACCAGAACTTTTGGAATCTGTTGATGGAGCATTATTAGCAATTATATTCAGCCAATAAATTATTTGTATTAATGGTGAAATCAGGATGAATAAGAGAAAATATTTCCCGGGTTTTCAAAAGAAATGAATTTGAACGTAAAACTGACTTTTATGATAGGATTATATATGACATAGCGGATGATAAATCTGTTAGAAAAGGACATTATTTCTCATTCATGTACACAAGAAAAATGGTGTCATAGTTAGATGAAGATGGCAGTCCAGCTGATGCCCTATAAAAATTTTTAGGAAATGTTAGCGACAAACGCTTTCTGAAGGACAAGTAACAAGGACAAGTAAACGCTTTCTGAAGGACAAGTAAAAAATTGCTTAAGAATCTTTGTGAGATGAAAGATTATGTTTAAAAAAAATTCAGATGGATAAAAAATAAAAAGATGATTAGTAAAACCCTTTTTGTTTTAAATTTGATGATCAGTAAAACCCTTTTTGTTTTAAATACATGGGGGTGAAATTTTATTTATTTTTACTTTAAATTTTAATTTAGAAATGAGTATTGTTACCTTGCACAGGGTAAGTCAAAATGAATATAATGATTACAAATGGCTATAACTATTTATTGAAAACGAATTTATCTTTAAGATTAACACATAACTTAGAGGAAACTTCAAAATTTTGTATACATACGTCATAGATGTTCTGTGACTTCCCTTGGTCACACGAACAACATCTAGGCGGTAGTCCATTTCACGCCTTACATTCTGAAGCATTTGCTCAGTCACCAACGCAAGCGCATTTACATATGCGTACTTTGAGTTCTTCATCTGTTTCGGGCATGGGAGGCACAAACACCTTGTCTTTCACATAACCTCATAGAAAAAATCACAGGGTGTCAAGTCCGGAGATCTCTGGTGGCCATGAATAGAAGATACTGTCGGCAGCTCCACTTCGACCAATCCAACGCCTCGGAAGATGTTGATTAAAAAATGTGCGAACCTCCGTACTCCAGTGTGGAGGTGCTCGATCTTGCTGAAAGATGTAATGCGTGGAGTCTAGCTGTGGCATCACCCATACCTCAAGCATGTCTAGGTAAACACTTCATGTCACACTTTGCTCACTGAAGAAAAAAGACCATACAATTTATGTGATAAGATCGCGCAGAACACATTAACTTTTGTTAAGTCATGTTCATGTTCAATTACAATGGAAGGCTTCTCCATACCCCATATTTGACTGTTGTACCGGTTAACCTTCCCACTTATGTGGAAGGTTGATTCATCACTACAAATGAGACGATCAGCCATTGTTTCATCCTCCATGCTTTCCAGCATAAACATAGTGCAATTCATACATTTGCCATAGTCTTTTTGTTTCAACTGCTGCACAAGTTGAATGATGTACGGTTTCATTTCCAGCCTCTTTCTGAGAACATGCCATACCATTTTTTGTTGCATTTGTAACTCCCCACTGCCTTCGTATGTCGATTTCCATGGGCTTTGTTCATACGTGCGGCGAATTCTTTCTATGTTATCAGCTGAAACATGTGGCCTTTCACTACTTTTTCCTTTGCACAGACATCCTGTTTTTTTAAGCATTCAATACCATTTGTGTATGTTGTTCGCATTTGGAGGTTCTTGTTTGTAATGCTGATGAAATCTTCTCTGCACTGTTATAGTTTCAACTTTCATGCGTAGGCTTATGTAAAGAAATTTTGTAGTTCCATCTACATTCTGTTACTCTTATTAATAAATTCTTTTCTATTAAATAGTAATAGCCATTTGTAACTGTTATATTCCTTTTGACTTTCCTAGTATTTGATTTATTATTCTCATCAAATGCTTATTCAATAACTAAATAAAAAAATAATTTATCTTGCTTTATGTATTAAATTTTTTTTAAAAAATAGCCTCTTCCCCCAACTGATAACAGCATAATAAATAAACTTTTGTTGCAGTAACCACTCATTGTAATGTTTTCTTCTTGTTGGATAAAATCAGTTATCATAATAAACATTAACTGTATTACAAGATAATATAAAAAAGTGTTTAAAATAAATGTTGCATATTTAAATATGCAATATTTAAATATTAATAATCATGCAAATGAAAATGAGAACTGAATACATGTTCTTGAGACTACAACTACATTAGACTGAATGATAATTTAAGGACAAAATGATTTTGTATCGATTCTTTTATTGGCAGAATGTTTTGTGAAAAGGAATAAAAGACATACCGCTTTTAGTACATTAACTTTTTTTTCTAATTCAGCCATCTCAGATTTCATTTTGTTAAAACTTTCTTGCAACTGAAGATATGCTGTTTCTTTTGTTGAGAAAATTTCTATGAAAGAAAATAATATTTCTTCAGGTTGAATCAATATGAATAAATTAAATACAACAAAACATACACTATGCATTGGCATGAATAAAAATCTATTGACAATCTTTTTTTATCTATTACACAGCTTTAGAGACAATACTAGAATACAAGAAAAACACAAAAACATTCATGGATTTAGAAAATAGATCTTTCATTGAGAAACAGCTATCTATAAAAAAGAACAACAAAAAGGACACGTAGCAATGAAATGCAGAAGATTTCAGACTATTGCTCTTTTTATTCTCCTAAATCAATAGCAGCAATCCCTAATATATATTTTCTTTTTCTCCCTCACCCTCTTAAAATTATATCTTGATGAAAATAAGTTTGGCAAGCCTAAGTTTCAGGGGCAATAGTTAAAAAGCTATGGAAGAAAAATTCTAATGAACAAATAGTAAAAATTATTATCATATTGAATAAATTAATATGAAAAATAAGCTTGATATAATGATGCTAATTTATCAGTACTGAGTTTAATACCCATTAGAAGACACTTTGAACACAATTTTTAGAAATTTGTTGGCAAATTCTCTTTGATTTTGTAAAAAGCTGACAATTTTCAAGCTAAAATTCTTTATATTAGTAAAAACACATAGACATATTTTCCCACACCCTTGAAACATGAAATAATTAGCAGGCAGTAGCAACCACTTTGATAAAGCTCCTCTATAGCTAAATTACAAATAACTAATTTTGGGAAAATATTAAACTGAAAGCAACTCGTCAATAAAATTGAATGAGATAATTCGAATTCATTAAATTCTGTGATTAAGCAGAAAATACACTAGGAAGATTATTATTGTATTCTAAAGAACTGCTTTAATTAACTTTAAAGGCTTTATTATTCCATTATTATTTATTTATTATTTATCAATATTATTTGTAATTTTATTTTTATTATTAAGCTATTATTTTATTAAATATATTCATGGAATTATGTTGGGAAAAGCCTATATGTTTTAGAAATATAAAATGCAGCCAAAGCAACTATATATTATCATTACCATTATTATTATTATTATTATTACATTATTTCAAAAATCTTAATCATTTTCAAATTTTTATAGTAAATCCCCTTCTTTGGTTATAAATATTTTGTACATATTAAGCATAGTTATGTTTCTAGATAAATTTTACTCCATTTTATGAAATTATTTATTGTATAGCAATATTTATAAATTAAAAAAAAGGTACTTTTCCGTTTTGCCGAAGCAAATGATAAAGTCGCCAATAATAGTACAACTGATGGCAAACAGAATATCTTCGCTGGTAACCTTTTACCCTTTATTTTCAAAACAAGTCGCAGCCATTTCTTATCAGACTGATTGTTTCTTTCAATACTGACATACAATTACATACAATTTTTACTAGTTAAATTTTATGCCTTAAGACCATTTGCGGTAATTAATTAGGATGTAATCACACCACTCACTCGAAGGCGAAAATATAGAAAAGGCAAAATTAAGGGTTAAATTCATCAAATCTAATGAGAATGCACTAGCGAAATAAAGCACTGCGGTTTTACACAATTTCTGAGTAAGCTATTCGTACAAACTGAAATAATTCTTACATTTAAACTTGTAATCCATAAGATTTAATTTAAGATTTAACTTGAAATTAATGTACATAATTACTGAGAAAAAATTAGATTTTTGCAGAGTAGTTTACATGAGATAAGATTATTTGGGAACTCGTGATACGAACAGGAGAATCAGGATGTTGAACCATGAAAGCATAGTAAATTCTTAAATTAATGTCTTTTACAAATTTATTGTCTTTATTTATCGGCTTTTTACAAAATTTTTAAATCATATTAAAATGTTTATGCCTTTAAAATAAAAAATTCTTAGAACTAACATTTGCTAACATTTTTTATGTGTATACTGTATGCTGTCGTCAACAAAGAGAGATTTGCACCGGCGAAACGGAAAAGTACCCAGAAACATTTTCAGAGCCTCTTTTTATTGAAAGGAACAGATACACTTCAATAACTTTTTTAAAGAAAATTTTAGCATAATCACAATGAAGAATGCAATCATGAATCATGGAAAGCTGGGAATTTCATATTCCCTATATAATCTACACAATCCTTAATAATCTGGAAGAGTTTCTTTAATTTCAATTTTGTCATAAATGAAGTAAAATTTCATTTAAAAATCCTTCTAATTGCCAAATGCTTTATTGCTGTATCTTGAATAAATCTTTTGATTGAATTATAATATGCATTTATTATCATTAATACACAGAAATATAATATTTATTGCGGTTATATATTTTTTTTTCTCTTTTGATGCACTTTTTTTTTTTTTTTTTTGTAAAAATAACAATAAGTATAACTAAGAATTAGATCTTTTTTTTTTTTTTTTTTTTTTATGATTTAAGGAAATACCAAAATTGAAATAGCTTTCATGAGAATTATATCTCAGTTACTTTCAAAAGGTTCGTGATCTTTAAATGATAAGCTTTTCATTTTCATCTCTCTGAAAAGTTAACACCATTACTGTAATCACTCACTATTTATTTTTGTGCAAGGTAAAAATACAACTGCAGTTTCTTAAATGTAAAACTATGAAAACTTTACTATGAATACACAATACAAACGTATGAAGCATATACAAGTTCTGAAGATATTAACTTTCAATACAGATGAAAACCCACACTTTTCAAACTAAAACATGCTTCAACATTAAGATAACTTTCTGTTTAAATATAGGACGTAAAACAATTTATTGATAGTATCATGAGCTGATTTTCCCTTCTTTTCTTATTTCTAAAAATCCTGTCTGCAACAATCAAAAATCCCTATTGAAACTTTTTCTGCATTGTCGGAACCAGATATGTGCATCTCTTTTGGGAGGAAAAAGACCTCTTTTTTCAATCATTTAGGTAAGCGTATATTTCAGCAAGGGCCACAATGCATTTCCATTTAATACTGCTGCTAAAAATGGTGTTTATATAAAACTCTAAACCTTTTTGAGCGATAAGCTACATGCCTTGTCGACATTTTAAAGTTATAAATCTTAATATATTATTTTTGTATTTTTCTTTTCCATTACACGTCGGCGGATTTTTCTATTGTTACCAGAGATTTCATTTTAGAAACAATTCGTAACCTATTTTGTATATTCATTTGGATTCATCTTTTCATGTAAAATCATACATAACTTATAATTAGAAGAAAAATAAACCAAATTATGTTTAAACTATAAAACTAAAAAATATAGTATACAATATTTTAGAGTTTCATATCAGTTTTCACTGCTCAAATTTTGAAACAAATTACATCATAATAATAGATAAAAATGCACATTACCCTTTTCTTTTAATAATTCAGCTTCAATATCTTTTTTTGCTTTCATCTCAATAGCTAGAGAAGTTTCCAAATTAGTAATTTTTTCTTTTAAAATTTCTTCAACATGGCTAATTGTTCTTTCTTTTTCAACATTTACAGCACTTTGAAAAAAAAAATTAAATCATTAAAATGAATTACCCGGTCAAAATTACGAAAGAAAACACACAATATCAAAATTACAAAATAAAAGTCTAAAAGTGTACTTTTAAGAAAATACAATACAATTGATCTAAAATATAAGTAAATTTTATAAAGAAATATTTATCTTCATTATTTAAGGTTTTTATGAATAGCCATAATATAATGTATGGATGCATTAGCAGTAAAATCTGAAATTTCCATGAAAAATTTTTGAAAATCATATTAAACATGCTTAATGACTGCTTTATAACAATTAAAAAGCAAATAGAAAATAACAGTAAATTATTACAATGTAAATGGAACAATTATAATCAAACATGCATCACACAGTATTTTATGATTTGTACTAATCATAAGCATGGTTGTTCCTGAAAGCTGGATGTGATATTACTACGTATATTTTAAAAAAAGTATTTGACGGCATATAGGACGCACTGGCATATAAGATGCACCCTTATTTAGACAGCCACACACAAAGAAAAAAAGTTTCAATAGCATGGTTTCTTTTAGTTCTCATGTTTCGTAAAAGCCAAATAAACAATTATTGAATGCAATTACCTTCACGTATAAAACGCAGGTAAGTTTTTTGAGACCAAATTTAGGAAAAGAAGTGCGCCTTATATGCCGTCAAATACGGTATTTATTCATCAGTTTTCCCCATTTCTAACCTGTTCATTGTTAACATTTTGTGCATTTAGTTCATTTTCACATGCATTATAAATAATGTATTTTCTCCTTACGCACTGAAGTTCTTGTTCTAAAATCAATAAAAGTCCTTAAGAAAAGATATAGACTGCACATAAAACATATTAACATACAAAAATTTTCAAACCTTTTAATTAACTTGTCATTTGTTTCTCGGAGTATATCATTTTCTTTCTGTAAAGTTTTAATTTTATCTTGCAACTAAAAAAGAAAATAATAAAGAGATCTTTTAAAATGTGTTTATTAAGAAATTAGCCATTTCTCTATGTTCAAAAATGTTTTTAAAAATGTAAAATAAAAGCAATAAAAGTGCTACACAAGTGGCCAGGTAACTCATGATTGCAAGTCAAATTTGCAGAACATTAATAAATTATCTAGATTCAATTCATATACATGGAGTTTTCATGGTTTTTCCTATATGCAACAGAAACAGGTACTACTTTTCCTTAGAAAGTATTTGTACTTGTGTACAAAGTAGCTCTTGAGTGCTTTGCTGCACCTAATCAACCAATTAGCACAATGAAATCATTTATGATTAAGAATACACACTTTTCCAATGCTTTCCTGGTAAATAGACATCAAGTGAGCAAAAATCAGCTGGTAATGTGCGGAGGTTGGCTTTTACTTTATGGCGTAAGCAGTATGCAAGAGAGTTTTTGCACTATGACCATATCTACTCACAAGAAACAAAGCTTCTTTACAGGCAACCAGACATTATTATGGAATTTATCTTAAAAGCTTCATGTTTTATTATTATGTAAAGTTTATGCCAAAAGAAGTATAAAATAAGAAAAATGGGCCAATTACAGCAAAATACATGATGAAATTTTAAACTTTATAGAAGTGAGGCAAAAAATGATACTTAAAAGTTTTGTCCATAAAAGATCTGAATGTGTAAAGATCCAAATGTAACTCATGTGTTCCTATGAACAAACACAGTCAAGAAACTGTTAAAGCCTATTTATAAAGGACCCTTCTAAATAATTACAGGGTTCGTACACATTTCTGCACACGGAAATTAAGGACTTTTAAGGACCGTTAATGAAAAAAATTAAGGACCTATGAACAAATGAGAACTGAATAAATTCAATTGAAGATATTATCTATGCCTGAATTTCCCTTTTGCAATACAATCCTAAAAATAAAATAGATCCCTAAGTAGTACGAATTATTGCTAAACATGAATTAATTAACATAATTGTTAATAAGTTTGAGAATAAAATAAACTTTATGCAATTTATCAAGTAGCATTAAATATTTTACACTTATAATTATTGGTCATATTTGAAAGAAGATAAGTGACATTTACGTTTTACTAAAAGTTAGCTTATGTTGATTTTTGTTACGTCTCATTTTGTCACACACTTGGTCAGTCTAGAGGTTTAGTAAATAATAGCTAGATTTTATGTCAAACTGCATAGGTTAAAATGAGAAGTAAGATCATAATCAGCATGATTCATAACCAAAAGACTGAATGTTGTCACCGCTGCTGTTTGTCTAGAGAGAGACCTGCTGATTAAAATGAACCTGAAAGGCCTGATGTAGGCAAAGTTGGCAAGTGTTGAAAGTTAGTCAGGTTCTGTTTCATGCAGTTAGTGTCGTAGCTTCGTGTACAGTTCCAGGGGTTGTAACCCAGTTAATATACTTTAAGGTTCCAATAAGCCATTTAAGCACCAGAGGTGATAAGTTGTTTTGTATTATTTTAAGTACATGCATAGAATATGTTTTACTTGAATTTTTACATTTTTATAATTTATCCTGTGACCACAGTGAGTATTAATGAAAGGCAATAACTCGCTTTAATATGTAGAGATAATTTTTAAGGGTAAGCAGTTAGTTATAAATAATTAAATTAGGTAGTTTGATAACGATTATGGATTTACATGACCACTATTAAATTTTATTTTTTAACAATATTTGTTAAAAAAGCGCTATTTAAATCAAAATCTAATAAAATTTCACAGTTTAAAGTACATGTAATTAAAGTATAAGTTTCTTAAATGATATTAAGATAATTATGCATTAAAAGCTACAGAACATTTATGTTTTGTAACAACAACCGTCAACAAAATATTTATCCGTCATTTTAATTTGAAGCCTTCCCAGACATTTTGGCTAGTTTATATCGATTTCCTTCTCTTTAAGCATCTTTTCTAACAATTAGAGATTTGTTTCAATATGCAAATCAATGCTGTCGCTAGTTTCTGCGTCTTTATCTCCTAACTTGTCAACCTCTCCACAATGTACCTATGAGGATTTAATTGATCTGGTAAAAGTTTCACCACAACTCCCGACAGGCATGAAGCATATTATCGCTATGTCTAAAATTAACTACAATAATATTAGAAAAAGGTTTAAATAAACCTCTTATTTAAAAAGAGCTTAGAACATAAAGGCATGTTCTGATGCAAACAAAATCAATTACATCTCACAATGACGTAATTAAACAAGAAGAGTCACATTCAAACTAATAATGTGGACTAGTGGTCAAAGATTATACAATTTAATTTTAATTTAATCTGGCTCAATAGCTCTATCATATGAGGAAATAGAAATGGGGAATTATAGTAAAGGTTGAAATCATAAACAATTGGGTAATTTACATAATAATAACTGCACATATCTTTGAAGAATAATTTCCTTTATGTATTCAGTTTCTTTCTTCAACACGTTTCCTTTTCCTTTTAGAATTTTTGGATTTAATTAAGGATTTATGTTATTCTAAAAAACACTAAATGCATTTAGAATGTACAGAAAAAGCAGCTAATTTTATTTCTTTAGTAATATGAACATTCAGAAGCAATATGAAATATATAGTAAAGGCTAGTTAGAGCTGATGTGGCAGAATTTCTAGACTTTAGTGACACACTGAACAACAAAATCTAGAAATGGCAAAACGTTTAGGATTTATAGCAGGCATTGGAAGCAGAATTTAGAAAGGCACTAGGCAACAGAATTTAGGATCCATAGAAATTGCATCAGGTGGGAAAATGCCTAAGGTGTTAGCTATGTGTATGATGCATTAAGATATATTAGATGAATTTTTTAAATTGTAAGTTTTCAATTTCTTTATTGATAAAAAAGATGCATTAAGAAATATTGGATGAATTTTTTAAATTGTAAGTTTTCAATTTCTTTATTAATAAAAAAAATCCCTTTCTATAATGCCTGGCCATGTGATAAAATCAGAAGCATTTTTGATATTTTCCATGCATCTGTCTAGTGAAAAGTAAAGAAAATAAAGAGAAGATAAATATGTTAAGATTCTAGTATCAGAAGTAAAACATTTAAATATTATGTTTTCATTGTTCTTCCAGATGTTTTCCAAAAATTAAATTCATTGCAAACCTTCTGTAAAATACATCCATTACATGTTGATACCATGGAGACTTTTTTTATTTTGTCATATATTTCTCGAATCTCCTAGAATCGTGGGTATATAAATCTCGCCTTCAAATCCTTCTAAACTTTCCAAGCTGCAATGTCTAAAATCCTAAAGAAATATTATCCCTACCAATTCTGTAACAGCAAAAAGACAGAAATATTTTGGGAAAAAATAGGAGGGAAAAAGTATAAAATAAATTTTACAGAGAAAACTGATGCCCATTCTGAGAATTTTGGATATTCTGAGGCAATTACATGAGAAGAGCTCTTACTATGAAAAATTAAAATGAAAACATTTTTTAATTAATTACATAGCTAATTTTTGCTAACTTTTGCTAAGAGCTGTTTCGTAAATTGTGCTTTATAGCATTATACCTTGTTTATTTTTCAGATTTAAAATGTTGTATAATAAGTTGCCAAAATAAAACTTTATAATATTACAGTGAAAAATAAAAATGTCTTATTTCAATGCTATTTTTTAAATATAATTTCAATATATTACCATTGTTTTAATGAAATTTATTAATGCTACGATGTTTTAAAAAAAATCGTCAAAAAATTCTCAGATATCGGAATTAAAAAGTTTCTATAGAAACTAATCTTAAAATCGCCAAAATGTTGAAAAGTCGCCAAATTTAGAACCGTTTAATAAAAGAATTGACATCCCCAAAAGCAAAAAGTTGTTTAAGAGATCTTTACTAGAAAAAATGAATTTCGAAAGGCTTATGTTTCACTTCTTGCTTAGAAACTCAAGTATCCTATCATTTATATTAGAAATAGAAACAAATTATAACTCATGAACCCATTCAAAGGATAATCATATGTACAGCAGTGAATCACCAAAAATATTCCTCAAAATGCTAATTCACACTCAAAATGACAGTCGTAAAAACAGACAGAAATTTCAGATGATTAAAATTAAAGACCTTCTGCTGATTTTGGCCAAAATTAAGGACTTTTAAGGACCAAAAATCGATTTCAAAAAATCTAAGGACTTTTAAGGACTCTTAAGGACCGTACGAACCCTGAATTAAAAGAAATTAAAAATACTTAGGCAAGGAAGAATACATTTTGATTGGCAGGCTGCAGCCAGAATGTTATTTAACATCAAGCAATCAAAGCCTGGAACCAGAGACTTATGATAACCAGCTCATGACCCAAGTTCAAAATGCGAACTTTGAATCTGTGTCTGAAGTCTTGAACAATCTTGAGTGTCACAAACTAGACAACCAATAACATATCCTTTATGCTTTAGTAAACAATGTTGAATATTTTTCCTAAACAACATTTTAAAATATGTTTAACTTCAGTTGCATATATTTATTTATTAGATTTAATATTTTTTAGGCTCTGATGTTGGTTATCTTATAAGTTATTTTCTCCCTCCTTTCTGCATGCCTTCATGGTGTAACTGCAAGCATAATAGATGCATAATTAAGAGATCAAGGGTTCGAGCTTTGGCAAGGGCACGACTCATTTTACATCTCTCATATTTCAAAATAACTTAATGATTCTATAAGCTTATGCTATAGTATTATTCCACTACCAGAATCTCTTAAATAATTACTTGTGGGGGAGTAATACAGTGGCAACATGACTTAATTGTTTTTTAAATTATGATTTGCTGAACATCAACCTGAATTAAAATTTGTTATTAGTTAGCGTTCAGTTATTTTTGTTTTGATTCTTAATCTTTCCTTTACAACATATAAGCCCCCTCCCACAAAAATACATCCATTCACACAAAAAATTATGTTCAACTGAAAATATATTAAAGAGGCTTTATTGTATTACATACAAATTAATGCAACATCTGTTTTACATTATCTTATAGTACTCATACTAAAAAGTTATCAACCCCTTTCCTCCCAAAATACGTCAACAATACCTCAGATGAAGCAGCTATAGTTATTCCAGCTTTCTGTAATTCTCCAAGAAGTTCTAAATTCTTCTTTTGTTCTGCTTTGAAATGAGAGGTAATATCATCCATTTCTTTAAGCAGATGCTCATGATTTAGTTTTAAAATATGCATTTTCTATAAGGAAAGCAATAGTATTCAAAAAAAAATAATTAATTTAACATTTAATATAAACAGCTATTTCTAAAATAAAGCAACAGTATTGAAAAACAATTATTAATTTAACATTTAATACAAACAGATAATATTCTTTAATTACTTAGCACAAAAAGAAATTTATTTAATAGTTATATTGTCATTATTTTGACTATTTTTTAATTTAACCAAATAAGAATTCAGCCAAATAGTAAGAAATATAGAACTTGATTCATTTATAGAAATATAGAACTAAGAACCTATAAATGAGTTCCAAATAGTTCTGCAGTATGAGCTACAAATCTATATACGAGACCCATATAAGACTTTGCTACATTTTATGAACGCGTTTGTGTATAATACATATCATGAACTCATAAATATATTTAATAATAATGATATTTGCATGCCTAGAAGTAAAAAAACACAATTTAATCCCACACATTTAAGAAATGCTTAATCATGACTTACAAAGAGCTTTTTTGCACTCTGCTTTTTTTTGGGGGGGTGGATTTTACTGCACGTATGTTAATAAAGTCAATTTATTTTCGATGGATATTTCTGAGACTATCAACACTTGCACTTAATTATTTTAGAACTTAGAACAGATATTTGGTCTCCACTTTGTGGTGCTGCAATCTAACGCCAAAACTACATAAAATCATATATAATATCATAAATCCTCAAATATGTTTGTTAAAAATTTTGCAGTTAGTTTTCTAAATTATTTCAATATTTAAATAAAATATTTAAATATATTTTATGCAAATATATTTAATTTATCTGAAAATTTAAATTTCCTTAGTAGTCTGGAAAGTTTAAACTTGTTTAGAGCAGCATAACACTGTCATAGTTAAGTGGAAAATTCATAGTATATGCCTAACCCTTAAATAATTTTAATGCCGATAGTTTTATTTTTTTTCCCTTTCAAGTCATTAAATTTAATTCCTGCACTTAAATTCTAAATCTTTTTTAAGATTTGGTGATCACCTATTATCAGGTGAACTAGTCTTGATTAAAAACCTTTTTTTTTATTAGCACTAAATTGCAGAAATCTATAAATACTATTTGAGATTAAATTTTATATCAATTTAGTGTGTACTCAGATTACTTATTTTGTCTATTACATACTTTTATAAACACAGCTGAAAAGGAACAAATCTCTTATATTGGTAAATCAAGAAAACTTCCTGTACTTGGTTAATACCACTACCAGATTTGGTGTCCATCAAGATATAGCTAACAATTGACAAATAAACATTAGCCTCCCTGTTACAATCAAGCCGTCAATCTTCAAAAAAACTGCCCCACATTATTTGGGGATTTTTTTCTATCAGTTTCAATGAATTCATATTCCAGTGTGTTTAAAATCTGCTAGTTTATCTGGGATTTTTTAAACAATAAAATAAAAGATATTTGCTTGTTTCAGAATTTCGAAAAAATGCTACATCAAAAATTTAAATTTTTAAATAGATTCTAATCTATATCCATGTTTTACTGCTTTTCATTTTTGATATTACAATTATAGTATAAAAGGATTTTGCAAAAGAATGATAAAAATATTGTTGATATGAAAAGTACACATTTTCTCAGATGTGGTTATAAGTAGACCTAACTCAAATATTAAATTCTAAAAGTTTTTGCTTCTAAGCAACTTTTTTTTAAGTACAAATTATTGTAATAAAATGCTGGTTTCTAATATTGTTAGAGGATAAAAAATTTGTATACATAACCCAAAAAGAAATTTTCCATACTGTACATAAGCATAATAAACTGTTTTAAAACAGTTGTTAGGCTACGTAAAATCTTATGCTATTCTGCAATAAATCACATGCTAATAGGTATTGCATCTATTTTATACAGTTTTAATAATAATATCTAAAGTGTAAAGATATTATTTGGCCAGGATTAATATATTGAGTTTTTTTCACTGTGTCTTTTTCACTGTTGGACTAACTTGCTTCTTTAAAATGGAAATAGATATCTAAATGTATGATATTGATAGAAGCAAACAATGAAGTTTTAATATATTTTCCCCAGAAAAATATGCAGTCTCAAACATATATTTATAAAAGTTGGGAACACAGCTTGAGAACTACTAATATTTTGTTTCTTTAATGACTTAAACACTGATCAATTATATAATTATAAAATAAAAGAAGAGAAATACAAAATTAACAGAATGAGAAACAAAATAATTACTTGAAATAATCAGGCTTAAAGGAAAGATAGGGGTTTTTTAAGAAGAGATACTGTATATTTCTGTGCATAAGCTGAGAATTTTTTAAACATGTTTTAAAGCTAAATTATTGGGGTCAGCTTATATATGGATCAGATAATCTTGTAAAAAACATAGATACTTTTTCTTTACATGGAAATAAATGATCACTACCAAATATCACAATTTTTTGTTGCTTTAGTTTATACTTCTTATATTCACGGAAAAAATTAATTGAGATATTAATTTTATAAAAATGAATTGTTTTATTTTGAAACTGCTTATAATGCTGGTTTGGTGTGTCGTCGCCAACATGTAAAATCTAATATTGGCCAAATTTGGCCCCACTCTCTCCATTCTTGAAATTCTTCTTCATTTATGGAGAAATATCGAGCAGCCCTACAGTTGTTAGAAATTTTGTCAAATGGGATCACGTGTAGTTTGAAATTTGCTGCATATGTACTTCTCTTCCCGCTGATCATTCAACACAAAAAATAAGACTACCACAGATCATATACAAGACAAAAAAATGAATGAAAATATGTGCTTGCTTCATATAAGATTAACCGAGTTAAAACTATCATCTTTGGCATCTGGCATTTCTTTTAACAGTGATTTGTTTAGAAAATAATCCACAAGTTTTACCTGCTTGGCAACATTTCATCCTCATGGTGACGTGTTTGAATGTTAAATTTCTCCACCCACCCAATTCATTTTGGCTTATTTTTAGGTTTTGAATTTTTTATCAATTTTTGAAGAAAAAAAAGCACTTGGCTTATACATGGATTGGCTTATAGTCAGAAATATGTGGTAATTTAAAATATAATCAGAGTAAATAAGCTAATACATGCAACTGCAGATCAAACCCACTGCAAAGTTAAAAAAAGTCCTATGCAAAAATTCCTTATATTTTATTTCTTCACTATTCTAAGTTTTAGTTTATTCTTTCTTAAAAATAGCTTATTTTTATAACAAAATTATGAAGAAAATATGATCTCTAAATGAAATAAATTATCCAGAAATATAACTATATAATCAGGAATGAAGAAATATGTAATACATACATATATGTAGATAGAACATACCTCTTCCAAGTCACTGTATTGTGCTTGCAAAGCCAAATATTTTGCACCCTTTTGCTTCAATTCTCGATGAAGACGAATCAGATCTAAATTTTCCTGCACATGCTGCCTAAGAAATAATAAATTATAAAATTTTTATAATTTATAAATATCTATAAGAAAATGCTTAAAAATTTTTCATATGCTTCAGTTTAAAAACTATGAAGATTTCATTCCACTGATCCTTCTATCTTTCTCTATGTATAAAATACATAGCTTAAAATCCCCAGGATATATTTTTTCCATCATATGAGAAACGAGCACAGGTGATACAGGAAGTTATTGATAATAATGCAACATTTTTAATGTTTCTTTCAGGTTGAACAGCATATTGCTTATCATAATAAAGAATGAGCCAACATGTTTCTTTTTATAATTCTTCTGGCAATAGCTCACCAGTAAAAGCTGACGAACACTTGAAGTTCGGTCTGGGATTCAAGTCCCAGCAAATGGCTAGCTGCATGGGCCCTTTCATTGTTTTCCCCGTGAGTTCCCCAAGCAGATACTGGCCAGTTTCCCTTAAAAAAATTCCATGGCCATTCCTCCCTTTCTGTGTAGTGACTAATGATGCAGCACATAATAAAACAAATAGATTAAAAAAAATAAAAAAAAGAAGAAGAAGAAATCTGAAAGGTTTCAGATTTTAAATGATGTCCTAAGGGGCCTTTTTTGTATGTTTTGTGTGTGACCTTATTAAATATCATGTTCTACATACTAAAACTATAAAATTCAGTTTAACAGCAATATCGCAAATTAATTTAAAAATGAGCATATCTTTAGAACTTCCGATACAGAGTATAGATATGTTAATAGCTTACATATGTTAATAATCATTATGATTAGTTATTATTTGAAAAATTTACTATGATTGATTAAAAAACTACAATTCTAAAAGTAGGTAATGATGTAATTCAATAAAATTTAAACTGTCCATAAAAAAAATCATCGTACACTTTAGAGATCTCTAGTAAAAATGCTTTAATTTCATAAGCTTAACAAAATATCTTTTACCCGCCAAATTAATGTAAAGGTATTATATAAGTTAGGACATTCCTCCCCACAAATACAAAATTCATGTCAAACTCAAAATTTGCTGTTAGCATCTTATGTGTAATAATTGCCAGCAGAATTGGAATAAAGTGTTTTCAGCACATTTTCGAGACATCTTATATTAAATTGATGAATTTTAGTGAAGAAAAATCCCTTCACTAAATATGATGCAAAAATATTATTAGTTATTATACATGATTTCAGTTGCTTATGACATGCTCTTTTTCAATACTGTCACAAAACTATAAGAATATGTTCCATTGGAAAATATATATACAATTTTTTTAAATTTTCATTTTTGATAAATACACCATGTTTCAAAAAGAATATATGTATTACAAAGTGTTATTTTGTCCAAAATATCGATCACTGCGCCTCGGCTCGGCTATTGGCAAAACAAAACATAGTCTAGTTTATATTAATAGCCACTAGATGTCAGTTGTCATCTGTTTTGTGTGGTAACTGTCACATTTTAAAAGGGCTACTTCACAGCAGAAATAATTTCGTAGTCTCGAATTTGCATAGTGCAATTCCGTGATTACAGTGCAAAGACGTTTCAAGTTGAAGTACCAAATTGATCCTTCGAATGGGTAGAACATTCGCAGATGGTATTGACAGTTTATAAATACAGGATATGTATGTAAAGGAAAGAGTCACAGTCGCCCTCGTGTTCCTGATGAAAATGTTTCACGAATTCCCACTGCTTTCCAACACAGTCCTTCAAAATCAACACCTCGTGGCCAGTCGAGAGTTACAACTGCCTACAACAACAATTTGGCATGTTTTGAGACTTTGGTTGGTTATGAAGCCATACAAGTTACATTTCTTACAGGCTCTGCACCCTGATGACAAATGCAAATGTGTGGCATTTTGTAACAAGATTATTGATGCTATTGACAATGATAACACTTTCGCACAATGCATTGTGTTCAGTGATGAAGCGACTTTTCATGTTAGTGGACATGTAAACAAACACAATATTTGAATTTGGAGGCTACAGAGCCCATATGCAGCCATTGAACATGTACAAGATTCGCCCAAAATCAATGTGTTTTGTGCAATATCCTGATCATCTGTTTACGGCCCATTCTTCTTTAATGGAAACACGGTTAACGGTCAGCAGTCTCTCGCTATGTTACAAATCTGTTTGTTTCCGAGGCTGCACGAAGACAGTCTCAGCTGGCCTCCACGATCATTGGATTTGACACCCTGTGACTTCTTCCTGTGGGGTTTCATTAAAGACAATGTTTATGTACCACCACTCCCACAGAAACTGGTGAAGAACTGGATCCGTACTGTCATAACATCAGTGATGATGGACATGCTTGCCCGAGTATGGGAGGAATTTGAGTATCGATGTGATATTGTTCGTGTCGCTGATGGAGGACATATTGAACATCTGTAATCTGAACTTAAGGGATTCGTACATATGTGTGTAAAGTTTCATATTCGTATGTCATACAATTAATAAATATATGCATTTGAAATACATATATTCTTTTTGAAACATGCTGTACTCAGAAATAACAGAAATATACAGAATAAACTCAAACTCAAAATAGCAAAAAATTCATAGTTTTAAAGGTAATTGAATATAAACATTAAAAATTACTAAATTATAGAACTTCTGACTTTTTTTTTTTTTTTTTTGATGGAGATACACAAAAGAAATTAATACAAGAAATTTTTGGTCTCTAATTAGCAGTGTCTAATCTCGTACGTTTTCATTACTGCATAGAAATATTTAAATTCTGTCCTTTTGTTCATGAATAGATAAAAACCAATTTTTCGGGAAACTAAATGCCTATTAACTTTAACACAAGAATCATAAGAACAATACTTGGAATTTTCAAGGGAGAGGAGGAACTAAAAATGGGCTATAACAAATGATGCAATCGTGTATGTTCCTTTAAACATTTAGCGTGTTATTTTCCTTCCTACTGTCAAAAAATTTTTAAGAGATTAAATAAATTATAAAAAACCACAGATTGAAATATAAAATAATAATTTTGCAAAGTCAAATAGAGAAACTAGATTACATTCATTTAGTAATTTATTCCTACTTCTCTTACTGTAACTTTAATTATCCTCATAACACAAAACTTTCATGCTCTTACTATCAAAACTGGGTACTTGTGTATTAATGAAACCCAAGTTCAGTTTGACAATTTTTTCAAAAGAAAAGAACCATGATGTATATCATAATTCAACTGCAAAAGCTCATTTATTGTATACATAAATATTATTACATATAGATTTCACATTCTAATTGGGTACTGATTTCAAAACTCAATCAATAAATCTACTTACTAGCCAGTTTTTATTTCAAGGTGATTGCTTTAACAACAGATTTCAAATAATTGTTCTTTTTAGTGATTCTGTGGCAAAATATTGTTTTTTCCACAGAAATTTTACCACAGAACAGAAATTTTACCACAGTAATTTTACCAGAAATTTTAGCACAGTTTCTCACACTGTTAGCAAATTCTATATGTGCATATTTCAAAACTAAGTTTTATTATCAAAATATCTTGTGTTGTTATAAATCCACTGAAGCTGGGAATACAACTATTTAACCCAGCTCGAACTAACAATATTCAGTAGTCTCCACCTCTCAGCCAATACATAACATATTGCACTGATGTTATTACCTATCTTAATTGTAATTCATAATTAACAAGCTGTATACAGTAAATATAGAATTAAAGATATGATAGTTCTGTGATATGCAGCTCTGTATTTTGTTTCGTATTACTTTCATGGATTATTAAAATTATGCAGCTGCTGTGATTTCAGCATAACATTATTTTCTTCTTTCAAGATAACACACCAACTGTTTTGTTATTTTACTGCTCAACTTCTGTTTATTTTTTATCCTTGACACTTTTTATTTGCATGCAGGCTTTTAGAAAAATGCATCATTAACATTTTTATATATAAGTTTGATTAACAGAATATCTCAAGACTGCAAATCTATAAATAAGTAAATACAGCACTGGTGTGACATAATATAGTTCTTAAATTCACAGCATAATTAAATGATAAATTTTCTAATTTATAGTGCACAAAATATTTTATGTTATGATAAATTTTCTAATTTACAGTGCACAAAATATTTTTAAATTAAAATTTACATAAAGGTAAGAAACGTAAATTTAAATGTAAAATGCAAGAGCCATATTCATATTTACCTTTGACGATGTGTAAGCTGAGATTTTAAAATATTAATTTCTTCTTCAAATTCTATATCTTTCATTCTTAGCTAAAACAGATAAACAAATAAATCTATTACATTTATTTTCTACATAATACATTATGAAAAACAATAAAATAAGAAAAATGTTTGTTATTTAATCATATACACTGATGGGCCATTACATTATGACCACCCTGTTAAACACTGTAGAACCTTCTTTACCCTCAAAACTGCTAGCACATGGCATGGCATTGACTCCAGAAGGTGCTGATAAATAGTCTGAAGGATCTGGTACCAAGCACTCAGAAACCTGTCCTGCAATTCCCGCACATTGCGAGGGGGTAATGTGTCAGCAAGAATTTGGTTTTCCAGGTGGGACCACAAACGCTCTATCGGATAAATGTCAGGTGAATTTGGGGGCCAAGACATAACCTGAAAGTCACTGAAATGCTTTTTGAACCACTCCCTGACAATTCGACCCTTACGACATGATGCATCTACTGTTGGTAAACAACATCCCCTGACAGAAATACTGTTTTCATGAATGGGTGAACCTGGTCTGCAATAAAGTTCACGTAACACACAGACTTTGGGGGTTGTTCTACGAGGATTATGGGTCTAAAATGTGCTCCATGAAAACAATGCCCCCATACCATAATACTCCTGCCACAGGCTTGTTCCATCCAGCAATGCATCCGGGAGTCAAGGTTTCGTTTGGAAATCGGCATATTATCACTTGTTGTCGATGTGATGGACCAGAAAATGTGATTTGTCGGACCATGCAACTTTCTTCCATTTTTTTAATTCCAATTCCGATGTTTCTTGGCCCATTGCAGATGCAGCTGGTGATGACGTGCCGACAGTGAAGAGACATGCTTCAGCCTCTGGCTGCATAGGCCCATACATGGCAATGTATGCTGCACAATGTATTGAGAAACACTGTCTGGGTCACCATTGTTGTAGCTGGTGGTGATTTTGGCAGTTGTAGCTCTTCAGTCATGGCAAACAATGCATAGCTATCTCGCTCTCCTCTGGAAACCACTATCGATGACACACTGCTGCCCAGCGACTTGTTGTCCCACCATCCATACACCACTTTCAATATGTGCTCACAACAACTGCACGTCAACAGCCCACTAAATGCGCCATTTCTGATATTGATGTTCCCAGTCACTGAGCCATAACAATTTGAACTTTATTGAAATCTGATAAATCAACTGCTTTTCCCATTATGTCACTAATCCCGCTATGTTTGAAAAGACAATGCATAGCCGCTTTATATACTCCGCGCACATGCAGTGGTTTTGTTCTGGGTGAACCCATTGTTCTAGATGAAGGGTGGTCAGAATGTAATGGCTCTTCGGTGTATACAGAACATTACGCATTTTCAGAAAAGCTACAATTAAATGCAAAGAAGAAAACTACCACAATATTTTTGTTGAAAGCAAACATAACATAAAATATCCATAATAAAACAAATATTAAGCCAAATTTATAAAACAGTAAATACGGCTTGTTTTTTTCATAGATATTTAAACCATTCCTTGATTAAAAGGTTTTTAAAATACAAGACATAATTTTCACACAAAAACATATTGTACATACACTTGCCAAATAATGAAATGCCACTCTTTTCAGAATCACAGGATACTGCTAAAAGTCAAGATGGTTCTTATTCTCATACAATAATAATACACAAGTTTATAGAATTTCGCAATAACAGAAATACCAGCTTTTAGAGTACCTGATTTTTGGTAATGATTAATATGCGATCTATTCCTTTTAGTTAGTCATTTCTTAAAGAGTCATTTCATTTACTAAAACATTATTTTTAAAATTTGAAAATAAATACAAATAATTAAGAATACATAAATGAAAATAATTCCATTAATTAATATAATGTGTAATAGATGCACGAAATTGCAATTTGCTGAATATTCATCACGTAAGTTTATTTTCTTGAAGAATAATTTCTTAAGATACATTTTCTCCTTTTCACATCACTACAGGTGTGACATACACCCCACAATTCTACATACATTTAACACCTTTCTAAAGAAAAGAAGCTATAGCAAAGCAATGAGACATGTGCTAAGCAGGCAACAGAGAATAGAAAAAGTAAGTGTGCACCTCAGCAGGGCCTATTTATAAGATTGGAATCCTTTGTTTTAAGTTTTGAATGGCAATGGCCAGGAGTTCTATGCAATGCAGATGATATAATGCAGGAACCGTTTTCAGTGGCACAAATTAGAAAAAGATGTTACTATTTTTAAAACAGAGAGGGGGTAGTACTCAAATTAAAATTAGTAATTTTTAAGTTTCATATTTGTTTATCTTATACACACCACACATATATATGTATTTTATGTGTATATATATATATATATACAGTCAAAAGTCGTTAATTCGGACACCCATAATCCGGACTTCAAAGCTACAAACTTTCTGTGCATGCGTAAGACATTTATGGCTGCGAATATGCATGTGCGCATGCGCAAAATACATTTATGCATGCGCGTTTAATGTATAACGGACGGTATAAGCTAAGATTGTGTTGTTCCTTGATCTTCGAAGTGGATCCGGCTTATTATATTTTGCAGACTGTTAGAGCAATTTTATAAAAGTAAGCTTGAACTTTCGATTATGTCAAATAGAATTTCCAATATACGTAGCATATTCAGAAACTAAGTGCCGTTTCGTTCTAGCGCCGTCGCAGTGCTGTGGTAGGCGTCCCGCGCATGCGCACTAGTCTTTCTTGTTCCCAGACTTTCAATTGTCGCCATTTTGGTTGCTCTATGTTGTGTATTCAGTTTGCTGTGCACATTCAAAATGTTTAAGACAATTAGTTCTCCCGCTGACTGTGAGATTCGTGCAGCGGTTAAATTTTTGAACGCGAGGAATGTTAAACCGGCCGAAATTTATCGTCAAGTGACAGAAGTTTACGGTGAATACGCGATAAGTGATGGAATGGTGAGGAAGTGGGTAAGAATGTTTAATGCAGGTCCAACAAATGTCCACGCTGAGGCTCGGAGTGGTCGGCCTTCTGGTGTCACCGATGATTTGGTAAGGAAAGTTGATGAAGCAATTCATGAGAACAGATGCTTCACAATGACAACTCTTTCAGAGGTATTTCCACAAATTTCACGTACTGTTTTGTTCGAATTGTGTCTGACCGCTTGAATTATTGCAAATTGTGTTCCCGATGGGTTCAAAAAATGCTCACAAAACAAAGTGACTGATGTTCACAAAACAAAGTGACTTGGTAGTGCCTTGACATTTCTCACGCGGTACAGTGATGAGGGAGAAAACTTTTTAAACCAAATTGTGACAGGTGATGAAACTTGTTTGTGTCATTTCACACCAGAATTGAAACAACAATCGATGGAGTAGAGACACACTCATTCTCCAAACAAAACAAAAGTTCAAAGTGACAATGTCATCACAAAAAATCATGTGCACTGTCTTCTGGGATAGGAAAGGCGTTTTGCTTACCGAATTTCTTCCCAGAGGTGACTATTAATGCGGCATGATATTGTGAGACTTTAACAAAACTAAGGTGTGCCATTCAAAACAAACGAAGAGGAATGCTCAGTAAAGGAACAGTGTTGCTCCATGACAATGCTCGGCCTCATACTGCTGGTGTCACTCAATCGTTAATTCGACAGTTTCATTGGGAGCAGTTCGATCACCCGCCGTATAGCCCGGACTTGGCGCCGTCCGACTATCACTTGTTCCTGCACATGAAGCGTGAGCTTGGTGGCAAGCACTCTGGATCTGACGATGACACGAAAAATGCTGTGGAGTCGTTGTTATCGAAACCGGCGGGAAGTTTCTTTGACGATGGTATACAAAAACTGGTCACCCGCTATGACAAGTGTTTGATCATCGGCGGAAACTATGTTGAAAAATAGTTTAAGACATGTATTTTCATGTAAAAATAAAATTGGATTCGAAAAAATTGTTTTACTATTTTTTTTTTTTTCAAAACGGTACTTAGTTTCCAAATATGCCTCGTATATTTACTAATATGTAAAGGATCTACAAAGCGAAAGTATATTTCAAAGTCCATTAAACAAAAAGTGGGAATTACTGCAAAAAATGGATAAAAGCATATCCTTTGTTTGAAATCTGTTTATCAATTTCACGCTGCACTGCGGCGGGGGGGGGGGGGGGGGCAAACGCCGCGGCGCGCATTGAATTGGAAGTTGATCTGTCAGCACTATCCTTATCTTCAGGGCAGATGTTTTTATTTTATTTGGCTTATAAATCCTTACTAAATGTAGTATTTCATCTCAATGTACTCCGTCTTTGATATGATTTAAATCAAATTCCTCGTCATTATAAACTGCTCAAAACAATTAAAGGATATTGTAAGTTTTATATAAAATAAAGATATAAGCGAAATTTTTTTTGCCGAAAATGGAAGAAGAGAATCACAAATGCAAATTTTTCTGATTTTCAAACTGTGGAGTATGCTAATTTTGAGTTCGACGTCAAAAACGTCGCTTCAGCGGCAGCAAATGAAATTTGACTTTCAACTGAATAAAAGACAATGAAGACAAGGATGATCGGCATTCAGTGACTGCTTTTTTTCGATGAGTACGATGTCTCAGAGAAGTCATTTAACCGATTCAGAAGCTTGGAGAGTTGTTGGTAGGTTAGAAGGGGGCCAAACTCACGCCGAAGTAGCGCTAGCCATTGGAGTGTCACAAAGTGTGATTTCCAGGATCTGGAACCGTTTTTTGAAAACTGAAAGTGCAGGCCGAAGACCAGGGCAAGGTCGTAGAGGAGCAACAACGCCCAATGAAGATCGTTACTTAGTGTTAACGGCTCAGAGACACCGAAATATGAATGCTACTCTTCTCCAACTATACCTTCGCTTGGTTACTGGCACCACGGTTTCAACTCAGACTGTCCGAAACCGGCTCCATGGTGTAGGTCTGTATGCTCGCTGACCGATGGTATGTGTTAGACTAACATCAAGGCTTCATCGCGACCGCAGGGAGTGGGCAACAGAGCATGTGAACTGGAGGAGAAATTAATGGAGCAATGTTCTTTTTTCTGACGACTCCCGTTTCCTGTTCATCCTGATAATAGGTGTATTTTCATCTGGAGGGTTCGTAGCAGTAGGAATAATCCTGCGTTCGTGCACGAAAGTGTCACATTTGGCGGTGGAGGAGTGTTGGTGTATGGTGGCATCTCCATTGACGGGCGCACAGACCTCTACATCATTCGAGATGGACCTCTGACTGGTCGCCGATATAGGGATGAGATCCTTAGACCTATTGTAGTCCCTTACACTGCAGCAATCAGAGATGACTTCATTTTAATGGACGATAACTGCAGGCCCCATCGTGCTAACCTGGTGGAGGATTTCCTTTTCGACGAAGGAATCATACGAATGGAATGGCCAGTGTGTTCTCCAGACATGAATCCAATAGAGCACATTTGGCACGCTTTAGGAAGATGAGTTGCTGGCCGCTAACCACCCCCACAAACTCTCCAAGAACTGGAAAGAGCTCTTCTGGAAGAGTGGGACAGAATATCTAACTCGTGATTAATAGCCTCATTGACTCCATGCCTCAAAGGTGTTCAACGTTGCTGGCCATCTGTGGAAACCATACCACCTACTGAAAATGATTTCCTTTGAAGAAAACACCTTTTCTTATTCTTTTTTTCTCATATGCACAAATTGTGTTTTTTTCCTTTTGTACACAAATGCGCAATAAAATGCATTTTTTTTCTGCCAAATATGTAATTTATTCTCATGTAACCTACTACGTCTGTCGACCATGTATCAATCAGCTAAAAAGTTTCCCAGCCACAAGATCCACCTAAAACCGCAATATCCTTTAATTGTTTTGAGCAATGTAATTCGCTTCCGATAGTGAAGAAAGTGACACAGAGGTTAGTGAAAACGAAAAAATTTCAATTGACAAATTAGTCAGTATTCTCGACACAGCAATTATAGGACTTGAACAGCAGAACTTTGTAACTGAACAAGAAATTATGTCTATTTATAGAATTAAAGAGAAAGTATTAGCACATAAAACGAAGCAACTTAAACAACTTACATTGAAAGAAATGTTTAATAAAGTAAACAAATAAATATTAAGCTTTTGTTTTGTAAATTTTTTATACCTTTTGATCATAATTGTTCTTTATTTCATAAATTATGGTTTCATATTTTTAATTTTATAATTTCTGCATGCCATCTTACCAGATTTAAACTGATGATCTATAATCCGGAAAAATCGATAATCCGGAATCGCCGAAGTCCTGATGAGTCCGGATTAACGACTTTTGGCTGTATATGTATTAATTATACATTTTGATTATACCCCTAGGAAATAATGAAGAGTAAAAACTATTGTTACAGGATAACTACAATTTAATTTCTTAGAAAAATGAGATCAAATTATTGAAAACAAAACATAGTAGAGGTGTTAAACTGTATTTGAATTAATAATAAAAACACAAAATGTTCTTCACCCCCCCCAAAAAAAACACAAAATAAAAGAAAATTAACCATTACTGATCCCATGGGAAAAGACTTACTACTCAAGAGGAATTAGTCTCCTTTCACAAAATTACAAATAATTATGAAATGATTGTGTTTCATTTCTTTCATATATTTGAATGAAATCCCTTTCAAAAAGAGAAAAAATGCAGACATTTAAATTTTTTTAATTAAAATCAATAATTCCAAATACATAAAAGAAATTCCTCGACATGATCTATAAAAGGACAAAAATATAGAAAAATCAATGCCAAAACAGATCGTTATTCATATAAGCCAAAAACATATAAAGATGCTACTAAAGACTAGTTACCTTATTACAGACTAATGTAATACAATTTTAAAATTATCATATATCATATTTTAATTTTACAATGTCCAAAAAGTTTAATTTAAATTTTTACCTACAGTTGTTATTCTTACCAGGGCCTCCTATTTGTCCCTCTTCCTATTCAAAAAGAAGGTTCCTTCAAGACAACATGCTGGAGATGCTTAGGATTGCATCATTAGATGCTTGGAGAGAATATATTACTAGAGTCGCTATTAGTAGATTCAAAATTGGTGAAAAAATTTTACAAAATAAGTGCTCTGATTTGCTGTTGATCAAGAAAATCTAAAATATATGAGAGAGAATGGAATTGGCAAGAACTTTTATCTCTCTTTAACAAAATTCAGAAAATTAAAATGGTAAATTAGCTAAGAATTAAAACAAATAACATTAAAATTATTTCTGGCTGAAAGTCAAGGAAATAGAAAATAGGTAGAAATGCAGTCAAAAGTCTTCATTCAAAATTGCTGTATTTGAGTCTTTGAAACAAAAGTGGTCTTTGGTTATTAAAAGCATAGAAGCCAGAAGTATTTACAGTAAAATAATTTACAAATTAAAGTACAAAATACACAAATCTTCAAATCTAATAAACATCTTGTCTTACCCTGCCTCTAGTTTCAGACAAGCCAATCATAATTTATTAGTTTAACGATAAATTTGAAAGTTAACGACAGTTTCTTACGAGAAAAATTAATAAATTGGGAAGGAATTGCATTTTTTATAAGACCTTGTAGAAACAAAATTAGTTCATTTTTTAAGTAGTCTATTTCTGTACAAATATTTATGTAGAAGCAAAATTAGTTCATTTTTTAAGTAGTCTATTTCTGTACAAATATTTAGTGATAAAGTAGTTTATTTTTGTAAGTTTTTCTGTTAAGTTTTACTTTCCATAGTTTGATCTCAATTTTCTACGGAATTAAGTTGCTGTAAGTATCCTGTAACAACAGTTTTTCCTCTTCTTTTCCCAGGAGATAATCGGAATTAATAATTACGATTTATAATTATAATCTTAGCAGCAATAGTTTCAGATTTTACTTTGAAAATTTATTTATGCCTTATTTACCAATATATATGTATGTAAAATATAAAATAGGAAACAAAATTACTAACAGATTTATTAAACTTAACTGCAACCATCTGGCAACAGACATTTAAATTCATACCTTTTAATTAAATACAGCAACTTTTCAGTGGTACGTTTTGTTCCATTTTGCATCACTCTGCAACATCTTATGTCACACTTTCCCTACAACAACAGCAATGTGAAATCTTTTGCTCAATCACTGCTCAGGATTAAAACAAAGACTCTCAAACAAAGAGCTTATAAATATAAGTGCAGTTATTACATATCACTTTTTCACCTGCTTGCTCTGCCAAGCAAAGTTATGGCTCTTCACTAAGCTTCATTTCCCATTATCTAAAATTCATATACAGAAATTGTGGAGCACATTTAGCACTCTTAGTGTTGTACCAATTTATGCTAACATGCATTCCCGAATAATTGTTCCTGCTCAAAACAAAAATGATATTTCAAACATCAAGCTAGTTGTAATTTTCCCTCCAGTTTGATGTATGCAATAGTTTATCTGGCGATGACTAAAATGTGGATTGGTTTCATCTCTAGTCAGCTATCAGCTGAATTCTACTAGCATATCACGACAGTGAACCCCTAAAGCATCAAATATATCATACTTCCAGAAATACCACACATTTAAGTTTGTAAGATCATTGTAAGAATGGTCTTTCATGGCATGACTACAAAATTCATGAATACCGGTCTCGGTTCATTATTTACTACTTCTATTTATATCGGGCATCCATTGGTGGGCATAAAGTCACAAAAGAATGTACATCACATAATTCTTGTTCATGCATATAAAATAAACAAATTATAATTTCTGAGTAACATTTTGTACAGCACAAATTCACTCAAATGTACATTTTCTAAATATATACAGACTGTTACGTCAGACTGGACATAATTTCACATGTAAAACAAGTTAAGTCATTCAAGTAACACAAATGGTAAGATATAAAAAAGTACTACAGCAGGAAATCAAATTGTATTAAAACAACTACCTTTTGTTTCAGAATATCATTTTCCTGCTCATACATCTCAATTTCATTTTTTTGGCTAGACACTAACATCTTCCTGGAAAATAGCAATATTAAATCAGATACTAGAAGTTAATTCTGAAGTTGGAAGGTAAGAATTTTCATTAACTAAAATCTATTATTTTAGGAAAAAAATTGAACTATTTATATAAACTCATAATATATAACTTACAAATTGGAAAGTTCATTTCTAGCTTCTTCTAGCAAACTAATTGCATAAGGTGGAATTGGTGTAGGAAGAGTTTTTCTGAAAGAATAAAAAATGCTGTTAATATGCTTTAAAAGTTTTATTGTTAAAAGAAAACCAATACTTTTTAAAGTGATCTTTTCCTCCCTCTTTTCAGTGCTGGTGTATAATAAAGAATACAGTACATTAACTTTCAAAGTAAAATTATAATTTGAACAACTTATATGCTCTTATCTAATAAACATCATTCCTCTAAAAGAGTTAATTATATACTTATTAAAACTTTTAGTGGGAAATTATTGATGTGAAATATTTTCCCGCTCTAATCTATATTTACATAGCAAAACTTGCAAGACAGTTACCTACTTTGGGATGTGTATTATTGACATAGTATGTCCAACATATATATCTAATATTCAGTTGTATATATACAGGGTATTTCCAAAGTTTTAGAAAATGAGCTCTAGTTCAATTCCTAGATCTTACAGGTAAAGCTATTGACAAGAAACATGTCTTGGCATGTATATGCAGCTGTCATGTGCAATATTGTTTCATTTGATTCAGTTGTTTGACTCAGCACTGTTTTTGCAACTGTGAAAGATGCAAAGAGCAACCATTTTATGTTTGTCGAAAGTAAGTATGAAAACTCAGAAATTGCTCAATGTCCGAGAGCAATATTCTGTTCCCACATTTGTAAAAACATTTACAGGGTGTTCGATTTGTGAGTTTAACTATGTGATAAATAGATGGACTGACAAGATACTGAAAACAATCTTTGAGGATGTATTAAGAAAAATCATTGGGCTCAGTATACTAAATTAAATGGGTATTATGTTAAAAAAATACATAGCACTTATAGTAGTAATAAAAATTGATATATTAAAAAATTATACTTAAATTCATGGAAATCTGAAAACATCCCTTGCACATGAAAATCCATGGAAAATAATTTCCAATTCATTTTGCATACATTGCCTCCCCCCCCCCACACACACACCATGCAAAAATGATAAAATTTTAAATATTGAGTAGTTTTAAAATTTTTAATATTTGGTATGAAAATATTTAATTATTCATGATAAAGACAGCTGCTTTTCATACATGAACATAAACTATATAAATATTTTAGTGGTTTTCTGATTAAACAATGATGACATGTCAAATATTACAGTAAAATATTACATCTAAGGCATCTGTTAATGATCTGAAATGAGGAAAATTCTGAAAATGTGTAACAGGCTGTTAAAGAAAATCGCCAAAAGGCCACTGCCTTAAATCCCAAACCTATTTGTCTAGCATTTTAAATCTTCCTGTCTTAAAATCAGTGTTGCTTTAGAAGCCATTCATCTGGCAGTGTAGGTAGGGGAGGCAGACAGGCTGGTATTTCCTAAGCAGGCTTAACATATATTTTTGGATTCAACCCAAGACATATTTTTGAATTTACTTAAAAGTCTTAAGAGCTTACAGAAACATTAAACTTTATTTATTCAGCTGTATTTTTTACTAGATAAGACTTTTTTCATAAGTGGTTTGTTTAATTACATTGTAAAATTCATAACAAGAAAATTTTGAATTAATTTTAACATTTAGCAGATGTTTAATAGTAGATACTGAAAGGTCTACCCCTTTCTGCAGGCCAAATGTTCCCCATAATTGAAAAATACTCTCTCAACTGGAGCAGATGTACTACACAAAGACATTGCAGACTCGGCCATTTCAGAAATTGTGCAGCATGAACTATCAGTCTTTTGAAACATCATAAAAAATTTTTTCCAATACTCCTCCATAGTGTTTGGTACTTTTCCAGGACTTGAACCACAACTTATCCTGTGGTTCTGAATTTCCTGGCTCAACAACATTGTTTCATCAAAAAGGTCCATTAATATTTAAGGAAACTTTTATAATTTCATTAACAATTTCTGAACTCTCACCTACATCAGACCAGGCAATTTCAGTTTGTAAATTTATCCATTAAAACTTTATCAAAAGTGGTTCTCCTCAATTATTTTCTCGAAGAGAATTAAATACCATGGGACAACTGCATTGATATCTCTACCAATGAAGCAAATCAATGAGTGGCATCATTAATGGGGCTGTACAGTTCATTAAAAATATCGCCGGAAACTGTTCCAGTAGCTATTGCATGATCCACAGGCATGTATTTGCTGCAAAAAAATTGTCCATCAGTTATAAAATTATTCTTGATGAGATTGTCAAAATGATTAACTTCATAAAATCTCGACCACTAAATAATCATTTATTCGAAATACTATGTGAGAATATGGAAAGTGAACATACATCTCTTATTTTACATTGGTATTTAATTCATTATTTCGTGGAAAAATACGAACCTATATTTTAGAACTAAAGGATGAGGTGTATGCTTTTCTTTTGGAACACAATTTAGAATTGAAAAACTCACTACAGTCAAAAGTCGTTAATTCGGACACCCATAATCCGGAATGATCTATAATCCGGACCTCAAAGCTAAAAACTTTCTGCGCATGCGTCGCGTCGATACATGCGCATAGGCATTTTACGCATTGCGCGTAATACCTTTACGACTGTGCATTTGTGTGCGCAAGCGCAGCAGATATGTTTTTTACGCATGCATGTTTAATGTATAACGGAACAGTATAAGCTAAGCTAATCTAATTATCTATTTCAGTTAATGTTGCAGATTGCATTATTCCTTAATCTTCGAATTGGATTCAGCTTATTATTTTTTGTAGACTATTAGAGCAATTTTATAAAAGTAAGCTTGAACTTTCGATTATGTCAAATAGAACTTCCGATGCTGGAGCTGCCAAAGGATCTACAAAGTGAAAGCATGTTTCGATGTCCATCAAACAAAAAGTGGAATTGCTGCAAAAAATGGAATAAAGACATTGAAAATGTGACAAGAGAGGTTAGTGAAAACGAAAAATTCGATTGACAAGTAGTCGGTATCTCGGGCACAGCAATTATTCGGCTTTGATACAGTGGAACTTTGTAACTGAACAAAAAAATTCCTCTGTTTATAGAATTAAAGAGAAAGTATTATCACATAAAATGAAGCAACTTTAACAACTTAAAGCATTGAAAGAAATGTTTAATAAAGTAAACAAATAAATATTAACCTTTTTTTTTTTTTTGGTAAATTTTGATACCATTTAGATCATAATTGTTCTTTATTTCTTAAATTACGGTTTCATATTTTTAATTTTATAATTTCTGCATGCCATCTTACGCGATTTAAACTGATGATCTATAATCCGGAAAAATTGATAATCTGGAATCGCCGAAGTCCCAACAAGTCCGGATTAACGACTTTTGACTGTATTTGATATAAATTGGCTGTTAAAATTGCCTAGTCAAGCAACATTTTTACAAAAATCAATGAATTTAATTTAACCCTTTTCACAAAAAAATATGTATTTACTGCTCATAAAATGATTGTTATTCTATAGAAAAAGATAGATTTCTGGACAATTTGTGTAAGCTCCAATGATTTTGATTGCTTTCCAGCAATAAAAAACATTTCAGAAGAAGAAGAAGGTGTTGAAATACAAGCAACATTTATTCAAGAAATAATCCAACACCTGAAAAGATTTAGTGGAGACTTTAATAAATATTTTCCAAATGAATGACAGATTAAATATCAAAATTCATTGCGGATTAAAAACCCATTTATTGTCAAAACTAAACCTTCAAGTATGTCAGCAGAAGAATATGAAACTTTTAGTGAAATGACATTTGATTCATCATTGTAAGAAAAATTTAATGTAATGCTGTTAGTGGAATTCTGGAGCAGTTTAATCGACGAATATCCTACTAATTTGGGTAGGTGACAAAGGGTTCTACTTGTCCAAAAGTTTAAGAAATGCTGTCTTAAAACAATCAAAACAAGTTTTACTTCCCGTCTGTTTGAGCACAGGTCTGTTTGGTTACAAAATTAATGTAGCCTAAAGAATGCAACACATTATCAAATATAAATAGTGAAATAACATAAAAATAATTGCCTCGGTTTTGATTGTAGCAGATGAAAATTTTGGCTTATATAACTTTTTAACCAGGTTAGATGTGCAGTCTGATGTTTTAAAACTGAGTTCATATCTACCAGTGTGGTATGAAAATGAAGCTTTTTTAGCAGCACACTCCAAATCACTGTTGTAGTTATTCCCATCATTGGCTTAAAAAAAAAAAAAAAAAAAAAAAAAAAAAAAAAAAAAACTCTTTTGTTTGCTGAAGCAATAGCATTAATACCGCTGCAATGTTAAGCTGTTTTCAGGCGGCCTTAAATACAACCCTTTTTTATGTGCAGCAGAAAATTTCTAGTACCCAGTGGGCAGTAAATGTGTCCATTGATACTGCCATTACACAATTTTAAAGATTTATATTCTTGTTACATGATAAGACATTGAACACACATTTTCTTCTGCCCATTACTAAATAATGAGACAAAAAACGAATAGAGATAAAATGATCATAAACATATAAACGAGTTACATCACACACGAAAACAAAATAAATACATTGCCCCTGTTGTGTTGTCAAATGACTAAGTAAAAATTTGTGGCAAGACGGCTAGCCACAACTCTATCAAAATCGATATCAGCATTCGATCCAAGGATGGTTGAGAGATGTATTGCCATAAGACAACGTTTAAAAATTTGATGTCCAACAAATAGGTCTAAAATTTTTAAAAAATACTTGGGAGTTATAAAATTCTCAAACCCTGAACATTACTCAGAAATAAATAGGTCTAAAATTTTTAAAAAATACTTGGGAGTTATAAAATTCTCAAACCCTGAACATTACTCAGACAGTACTAAAAAACCAGGACTGTCTGGGCTAATCTCAGGTGCATGTTAAGCATAGCCCTAGGCAATATATTTTTCATGTGAAATACTCTTATGTATGGGTTTATCAAGACAAGCTAAGTAAACAAGATCCCTAATCAACACATGATTTATTCAAATCAACACATGATTTTAACAGTTACATACTTTCAGTATATATTCTAAAAAACGTCAAATTTTTTTAATAAATAATAATTAAATTATGATCATGTGACATTATTAATGAGGAATTTCTTGTTAAGAGAGAAATATTTTAGAGTTTTATTTCCCTTATTGGTGAAGAAAATAAAACATAGATGTGCAATACAAGTTTTTTTTTTTTTTTTTTAACTTATGCAATTTATTTCAAAGTACATCTCAAGAACAAAGCTACAAATACTGTAAAATTTCCTCACAGCTGCTGCAAGTGTTTCTAGGTGTGAGAAAAGTTTTCTACATAAAAATAGTTTAAGAATTATTTAAGACCTTCAAACGCATATTTTACATTTAAGATATGTTTTCATACTGTTACATAATAGCTACTAGAGTAATCAAGTAGATCTCTAGAATATCATTGGTAATTTTGAAAACAATATAATATAATTTAAAAAAATGTTGGAATTAAAATGTTACTTCAAAAATAAACAATGTTTTATTTTCCTATATGTCATTTTGACTTTTTTTTTAATTGGCTTGTATAACAAGATAATGCATGGACTTTTGACAAAAAGGTTTGGCTATGCCACTGCATTCATCTTTATTATTATGTATCTTAATCAGAAGAAAGATTTCTAAAAGTGCTTAATTTAAACATTAATGTATGCATGCACATAAAGCTAGATTAATAAAAATAAATAATTAAATAAAAATAATACATTTCTTGTGGGAAATGATCCAGGAAAGCATTTTTAATAGTTCAGTTACAAGCAGATTATTTTTCTTTAGCAAAAAATAGTTATACATAAATAATTGTAACATGGCTAAATAATTTTCTTAGCCATACCAGAAACAAAGCATAAATGTAGGATTAGAAATTTTAACCCAAAAATAAGTAGAATGACAATACTGAACACGAACTTTTGTAATTATCGAACGTTGCACTAAACCTTATTAATTTAGAATTTCTGACAGTTATCTGCCTAGTGGCTCTGAATACAATGCTCATTCTCAGTGCTGATTTGTATACACTCCTCTTTGCAGCATCCTATACCTTTTCTGAAGTGTGACTACAAAGAATAAAGAATTTTTATGAAACATTGTTTTTATTGAGGAGAACTGCAGCTAAGACTGTTTGTTGCTGTGCTTTGGCAAACTTTTAGAGATGATGCTTTGAGTAAATAACAAATATATTAATGGTTTATTTGATTGAAAATAGCACACATCACATAAAAACAATTAAAACTTGGACATCCACTGATGAACAGAAACAAGGAACACTTTGAAAATATGTGACAAGCTATTAATGAATATTGTCGAAAGTCTACTGACTGTATTTCTGGAAAAATCCTCTTTGTCTAACAATTGTTGGAGAACAACAATGGGACAAGTCTCTCACTCACTTCACTGTTTTGTTAAATATACTTTTTTGTCCTTTTCTGCATATAAAAAAGCTTGCAAAGGGCAATTCAGTGAAGTGGATGAGGTGCAAGTAAAATAATCTTGTGTTTTGAATATTAGTCTGTGCTAACAGTTCCAGAGATGTTTCCATATTTGCAGGAGCAGGCAAAATAATAGAAAAAGGTGTAGCAATTATAACGGTGAAACACTCTGAGAGAGTACTAATTCAGAATTCATTTTTGATTTTTAGTTCAAATTTGACATTCTGAGTGAGATTAAAATACATAAGTGTTAAGCATAATAATAATTGCTTAAAAATAAATCCAGTTATTTTTTAGTACTCCCTAGTATAAGAGTAAAATATTTTTAAAAACAAATTAAAGAAAAGAATAAAGGCATCCAAACTCTTATTACCGTGAATTTAGTAATGCTGTACTAAAAACTGTAGCTAATTAAAGAATGCATAAATGCAAAAATAAATCTCTATGCAAAAAATATACTTACTGAGACAAGAGATTTTGTAAATTTTTCCCTCTTAAATTCACAGATGATGCATATGGAGAATGTGCAGATCGTAAATTACCCTTAAAATACATATCATATCATCAGCATATTAGTAAACAAGAAAAATGCTTATTTATCTATTCACAAGATGTAGATTAAAATGCCCTTTTAAGAAACAGTTAACATGATACATAACTTACTTGATGCCTAATAAAATTATATTTCATGTAAGACAATAAACCAATAGCATGCTCATATCATCATAATAAAATGCTTTCTATACAATTTTGATAATTTATTACTAGATATTACTTGTCAAAAATGCAATTTCACAAGGGTTATTCAAAATTAAATGACGTCTAGATGACAATGATAATATTTTATTAATACAGTTCAATGCCTAATGCTTCACTGAATTTCAAAAATTTGCTTTGTGCTGTACAAAAAAATTATTTTTTATTAATGCATTCTACAGTAACATTTCACTTATATGAAGGCATACGATATTAAAAGAAATAATGCATTAATTAGAAGAAATATAGTATTATCATTTTTAAATTTAACTCAGTCCACAATAAGTTAACAGAAAAAAGTTTAAGATGCAATTCTTTTAAATTATTTTGCAATCCTATGCTTGGACTTGCTTTCTAAATATTATATTTATCACTGTAACCAAGCCTTTAATATAAATTTTGGTGAGTAACCAGACAAGTACTTCAGTAAAAGCCAAGTGATTGACCTGATAGGTTGTATCACACTCTTGCTCTGTAATTTTCTTAAAGTTAAATGTAATGTCCATGTGTAACTTAAACCTGTTAATAAATTATTGTTACACTATAAAGGATATCTTTTATGACTCCATCCAAAATGACCCCTCTCATATCACCAATTTTCTTTTATTTGACATTTTTCACTTTTTAAAAACATTTTATTTTAAATTGCAACTTCAATTTCTGAGATGACATGGACATATATATATAAAGCAGCAAAAAGTTAATGACGAACATGTACATTGTGCCAAAAAAAGGGGGGGACAGTTCTATATCTCCTGTTCTACTGGGCTAACTGATGAAATTAAACTTATGATTTTCATGTCTCGAAAGCGCAACTTAAGATATGTATTATATATATATATATATATATATATATATATATAGCATTGCTCTGATATAGGTATTTTAACACAAAATGGGACTTTTTCTGAAATGACATGCTAATTTTTGTTTCCATATTTCGATTCTACACCTCAAATTATGCCAAACTACTAAGTTTTGTAAAAATCGCCTGAGCAGTTTTTAAAAAATTAACTCTCAAAATTTTAGCTCCTCAATGTTAATTGAATTTGATACATATTTATTAATCTCTCTTTCTTATTAAACTTGTTTGATTCTTTCTTTCACATTTCGAAATTCAGGTTCATTCCAAATCAAATTCGCCCATTTTTTATGAATTATTTTAACATTTGTAGTATTTTAAAATAAATTTTATAAATTTTTCGAAAAAAATTTTAATCTATAATACTTTTACCATCATCTTAAAAGTAGATATTATAAATAAATATAAAATCTACTTCTAAGCATACCTGCAAAAAATTAGTTTTTTATTCAAAATTTCCAAATATTTAATGTGAATTTATATATTGGCTCATTTTGAAATTTGGCATATTTGTTGAAAGCGATAATAACATCAAATGTGGTTTAGGCACTTTGTTAAAATTATTTGAAAGTAGGAACTATGTGACTTTTCCCGCTCATGCAACAATGTAAAAAGGAAAAGGAAAATAGGTTGCCATATATTAAGAAGTTTGCTAAGTGAATTATTCTTGGAGCAAATTGAAAAACATGTGCCAAGATAAATTTTTGAATTTCTCCATAGATTTCACACCAAATTTTTAAAAATTTAATATTTACGCATAATTTGAGTTGTAGAATTGAAATATGGAAAACAAATGGCATGTCATTTCAGAAAAAGTCCGTTTTTGTGTTAAAATACCTATATTAGAACAATGCTATATATAAATCTAATATATATTTTAAGTCGCGTCTTCGAGACATGAAAAACGAATTTGAATTTTGTTAATCGGCTCAGTAGAATGACAGATATAGAACTGTCCCTTTTTTTAATGCCTTTTTTATGTATTTTTTTTATTTTTATCTATCATTTTCCAGTAGTACTTTATCCCAAAATTCCCTGTGGTTCAATTAAACTGAATAAATTACAATGGCATACTTACAACTGATAGCTTGATTTGCTAATAAAGTTTATTTTAAAATAAAGTACAGCAATACTAACATTACTTTTACTTTTAAATAACATAAATTAAATTCCCTTTAAATGCAATTTGAAATACTCTCCACATACATAAAAAAGATGGCAGCTGCAATTTATAATGTAAATTTTTATAGATGCTACACAACTGAAAACAAGATATCCTTTAGTTCTGATGGAATATGCAATATAATATAAATACAAAAAAAAAAAAAAAAAACCCACTGCTATGAAAACACAAATGCCATGAAACTGCTTTTGTCAGCATGACGCATCAATGAAGTAGAGTGGAAATTCTTCAAAAAGAATAGAGTTGATTACAAAGAAGGAAATATTTCTGTATTATTGAATATATTCCAGTTTATTGTGAATGACATAGCTATAAAAAGGGAATATATTAAATGAAGAATCAAATTCTAAGAAGTGAGCTAGTTAAGTCTAAGAAGTTGATGTATTTGAAACAGCAAAGTTAATAGCATGAAAGCATGGAAGCTAGGGACAGAATTATCCATCCACATTTGTTTTCACAGTAAAGCTACTGTTTTAGAAAGAATCTTTAACTGCTACTATGTCACATCATTTGAAATGGTGCACAGATCATCATCATTTGACTATGGTTAACCTGAAGAAGGCCCTATACAGCAGCGGTTCCCAAGGTGTAGCTTGTGAAAATGCTTATTTTGTTAGATGGTTATGAATATTTATTCATAATTGTTAATTAATTTATAAATATTAATGAATAGTTAATTAGTTAATATTCAGTAGTTTAATAGTCAATAATAAAATCATTAACTAATTGCAAATAATTATATATTTAATTATTATTACATTATTGCTTTTTAAGATTTCCCCCCGGTCTCATTTTTTTTCCCCATAGCAACTGTATGGAAATGAGAAATAATAATTTTAGTTGCTGCAGGCATGTGTATTGCATGGCTAAAATGTTTGGGGAAGACTGCAATACAAAAATCAGTAATATTTTATGATTTAGTAGTCTGACATATGTATATAGACCTGGCAGATACCTGGCAATGGAATAAACTGACAATAAAGTCTGAAGATTGCACAGGGATAATTTTCCCTTTGAAATCACGTTCTAAAATTTTATCTCTGGAGTTTTTATTTGTAATTCTTACCACATATTTTAGTCAATAATTAGTTTTCCATACAGTGATGTTCATTGAGCAAGTCCATTCTTTTTATAGCATGATAATACAACTATTCATGAAGTCATGGCTTCTACTTCTCTGATCATCTTTGAAATAGGCTATCCAAATACTGCATGACAACTGTTTGCCATGCTACAAGAGAAGACAGGAAGAAGTTGGTTTTTTGGACTTACTGTACAGCTCCTTCACAATATGGGTTAAGAACATCCCTGTTTACAAAACTGAAGATCTCCATCCCTTTTCTCTAACAAACCTCTTAGGATAACTTTGGCTCACCAGCACTCTAAGTGCAACAATGCCCCACAGATACTGTACACTTCTTGAAGTTTCAAACTTGCACCCAACAATATGGCAGCCATCTTTGCTAACCACTATACCAATCAGTGTGGCAAGATGACTGGAACAGAAGTCTCACAGCAGCTTACCAACAAAGTGATGTCAGTTCAATCTTTCTTTGAAAAATTTGTGAATGAAACTTAAAGACCTTCACATGAATGTGCAAGATTTTTCACACATATTTACAGGTGTGTACACATAGATTGTTAAATCAATATAATTTGTACTTACAGAATTTACTTTAGGAGGAATGTGACTATATGGATGTGGTCTTCTTGTCTGTGTAATAACTTGCTGCTTTGCGACTAACACCTGTAAATATAATTATTTAAATGAAAAAATAAGCACAAAAGTAATTACTAACAACTCCTAAATAATTAATACAGTAAAAAATTCAGGCATCCAACATCTGGAGTGATTTAATATCCGAGCTTCTGGACTATTAGTAATTTTTTTTTTTTTTTTTTTTTTTTTTTTCTTTTTCTTTTTTGAGAATCTTTTTTCATACTAAGTCTACAAATAGAAGATATAATATTTTAGAAAAAACAGGTGTATCTTAAAAGCGATTTTTCTCTGAACTACTTAGATTCTTGCATGTCACCTATACCTACTGGCTAGGGAACCACACTGTGACCAATGATAAGATATTAATTAACACAGGCCACAACCACAACTTTCGGCTTTTGAGGAGTTGTGGGTAGTTAGCATTTTTATTTGACCTAAACAATACACAAAACTCCAAGCCATATTTGTTTGGACAGAGAGAATATTGCTGACACTGATCTCCTTTTGTTGATGCAGCAGCAGGAAAGGGAGAAAGAATTAAATTCCATGAAATTGAAGTTCAGTTTTAACATAGCAAATTGCATTCTTTTTTAACTTTCTTACATGAACTAGCTATTAATATCTGCAGGAAACTATTATTACAGCTATCTTAACAAAATTTTAGTTTGAATTTTTGATTATGTCGAAAAGATTTCCTAATTCTGGGGCTGCAACTCGATCTACATATTGAAAGAATGTTTTAATGCTAGTCAAGTAGAAATTAAAGTCGTTGCAAAAAAATGGACACAAAGGCATTTTTATGTAAAGAGTATGGAAAGTCAATGGATACAAATAGAAAAAAAAAATATATAGTGTCAAGCTATTATGCAATGTCTGTTAAAATGCATTTTAATGAATTTTGCAATCTACTGTTGTTTTGAGTATGCGCATCAGTATACTAGTGTCACAATTTAGAAAACAAAAGTGAAGTTCTTATCAGGGCATTTAATAAGAAGGAACCGATGCACGTGGCCATTTTTAAGCTAAGTAATTCCTTCTCATTTCCATGGGTTATGATATCAAACAATGCAAGCTGTGACTTTTTCATTGACCATGCCTCTTGCTTACGATAACAGAGCTTTAACTGTTATATAATGTTAATTTAGAACAAAAATTATTTAAAATTTTTTCTTATGAATGTAGCTTGAATTTTTACAAAAATGAAATCTGCACTCTTTGTATGTTGAAAAAGAGATTAAGATATTAAATTATTGCTACACCTAACTTTTGCTTCTAATCCCCACCTTTTGTGGGACTTGCACTGTGTTGTACATGCCATGTTTAGTTTGTTTACTTAATTATGGCACAGTACACTAGGGGTATCTGCCTATGGGATGGGGAAAACTAGGAAAAAGTTCAAGCAGCCTGCCTTTTCATTGTAATTGAATCTAGGTCGAACTATCAGTTTTCAGTGACTTTGTCACTCGGCCACTGATGGGCGCACACCATGTTTAATTTGTAAAAGATGTAAAGAATGAGCATAACTGCTAAATTTAAATAAATAACTGCCAAAGGCTACACAGAACAATATAATGCAAAGTTGGCTCAGAACTTCATCAGTACGAATTCACTTATCAGAAAATCTAATGAAATGCTGAAGACAGGAATTCTTATCTAAGAAGCAAATCTGGCAACATAGGATTCAAAAGGAAGAACACGCTCTAACTTAACAATCCCAAAACTTCCCTTTAAATCCATATGAACACATTTGCATTCTGGCTGTGGGTTTTTATCTGCAGTGATAAAATTCATGGTAAAATTTTTCTAGGATATTTTGCATAAAAGCACTAAAAAGAACAACTGCTTTGAATCTATTCTTAAACTGATTGCTCAATAATTTCTATCAGTACAAAAGAAATAAAACCTACTTATGAGTAAATTTATTTATTGATTTTCAGAATAAATATCTAATAAAATGAGAAGTATGGATGCAGCAAATAATTCCCGTAATTATTTACTTATTTACTGGCATGTGTGTGCATATTAAAAATTGCAAGTTTAGCCAAAAGTGGTTGCACAAATGCATAAGTATCTAACACTTAATTTCAGCAAATGAAGAAAGATTATCTATGCTATAAAATTTAATAACTCACAGAACTAAATATATCAATTCATTCATTAATATTAGTTAATATCTTTGTTATAAAATGAATTCTAAAGACCAATTTATTTCAGAATAAATTTGTAAAAAGTATTTTTGAAAAGAAAATTACTTTCTCTCGCAAATGGGAATTTGCTTTTTCGAGCTGGCGAACTTTATCCTGAAGATCTTCAATCATTTCTTCAAGTTCAAGGTCCCTTTTACGTTCTGAAAAGAAAGGAAATATAACATTCCATATAGTGAAAACAATGAACATCATAGAGTATATAACATAATATTATGCCCAATATACATATAAAAACAGTACAACACATTAAATACAATTATGGACTGATTAATATCAATTCATTACGCTAGGACTGCATTCAATTCTAGGATTCTATTTAAATGTTCCATAAATATTCTAGGAATACTTTTAATGTCAAAGATTTTTCACAAAGATACTGACTCTCAATGTAAACTTTATTATCAAATATATCAGAAACTTTTAAATGATCTTGAAAATTCAAAGTTTTGTGAAACAATAGTTTGATATATACATTGACAAATGGGGCACAAGACCTGAGGACTTCAGTCACAAAGGTATCTCCAAATTCTCCTATAACATTAAAACAAAAATCTCTAAAGTGATATTCCCTTATAGTATAAAAAGGTACCACACATTTTAAACTCTAATAATTGGCTTAATTATTTTTAGAAGAACATGTAACATTCAAATTAGATTATGAAAATATAAATAATTTCCTTGCAAAAAGTTTAAGAAAAAATAATTAAACTTAAACTTAATTCATTTAATGGTAAGAGAATTAATAATATTATTATTGTACATAAATTTATCTAATATCCATTTCAAAAATTTAATAGGCATCACATTTAAGATATATGATAATAATATATATATATATATATATATATATATATATATATAATAAAAGAAGAGATGGTAAGTTTCCCTTCCACAGTGAGAACTATCACCAGAAGAAATTATTTCTTCCATGTCAAAAGTAACGTAATTATTTAAAATTCATATTTTATTTATATATTTGATTATTAAAATGATGAAACAATTTAACTGTATTAACTTAATCTTTGTAATTATCAGTTAAAAGTCTGTAATAAAATAAATAAGAATTCTTTAGATTTTCTTTTTTAAAGTTCTCTCCATTTTAAAAATTTGCATTTTATGCAGCATGTAATATTTATTTTTAAATCCAACTGTCAGTTAAGCCTTCATCAAGAATGGCTGAACCCATCGATTATTTACCCATTTCAACTTTTAGAACATTGCCAATGATGAGGGCAATTGCTTTGCCAATGAACATTGCCCAAGGGGAAATTGATTTTACATCTTCAAAAATGCAGGACAGACAGTTACATACATCCATGCCTCTTTTTTGGGTTTGAACCTGAGCCTACAGCAGCTGGTCTCCCTAACCAACAAATTGAACCAGGTAGTACATAATAAATTAAAACCATAAAAACAAAATTACAAAAAGAAAAAAAAATGGGGGGGGAGGGAAGAAAATTAAATAATCTTAAATGAAAAGTAAGGAATTTTCCGGTTATCCCATAAAATACCTTGCATATTCACATCACAGGTATATACTACATTTAAAGAGATTTAGGAAGGCTTCATAACAGATGCCTAATAATAATTAATTTTCTAATTTCGTCTCTGTTTACAAAAATATACATGCAATGGTAACCACAATAAGCATGAATTGTAAAGATTTTTAAATGCAAGAATAATATTCTGATTATATTGTCACATAATTTAAATCATAAAAGAAAATAAATTAATAACATAATGGTTTATAATGAAGTAAATCCCAGATTTCAGTTTACAAGTTCTCTCATAAACTACATTCACAGCAAGTACAAATCAAAACAATTCATCACAAATGCAAGGGCAACACAGTACTATGAGTTCATTCACACAAATCTCTTGAAGCATTAATCTGGAGCAACACTGAATCTTGAAAAAAAAGATTTGAAACACAGAAAGCTGCAGTGAAAGGGCAGTACCTGTTGACCCAACAGTAAAGCACAAGTGGCCTTACCTGTTATCAACTGTCTTTGAACAAGATTTCAATTTATAAGATTTAACACAATACATTTAAGAAAAACCTTTTTCAGAGTGCATGCAGATAGATAATAAAATATTGATTATTAATTGATTCAGTCAAAAGATATTTCCTGATTTTCTCCTGATGTCAGTCAACAATAGTAAATTTATATAATTATCTCATTATTGAATTCTCAAGTCTTAGTGCTGTGGTCAGATATAAAATATAGCATGGTTTGTGTTTGTGTAACAAACATTCATTCACGATAGCTTGGCAGCAGCCCAGCAGTAAAGTCATCGAATACTGGAAGTTCGACTTTGGTTCAAGTCCAGGTGAACAGACTGGTTGCATGGGAATTTTCGTAGTTTTCTCCATGTGAATACATTCCAGTTTTCTTAGAAAGTCATTCATTACCATTTTAGGCAGATAGCACTTACATGCTTTAGCATACTCAAATAAATCAAAAATTCATATATGACACATGTGATTTTTTTCCCAATTACATTCTTAAATAAAAATAGTAAATAAATAACAGATACTTTCTAATTATCCACACTCCTACTGAAAAGTCATGAATTTATTGGCAACATTGGAGAGCATTTGTGAAATTGTAGGCGACTGTGGAGAAAAATATTTGGGTACCTTTACATATATTTCAATGATGTATGCAGTGCTGCCTATTTTTTACATTCTTCTTTTGTCATACAAGAAATGCATATGGGAAGCACTGCTGTTCTCCCTGCATTAATAGTGATCTGTATTTGAGAGGGGAAAAAATAAGACAGAATTTCACGAACTCAGCGTTGTACATAACTTAGATACTATGCATAATCATAGCACCAAAGTCCTAAAATGAAAAGGAAAAAAGAGGGGCATTGATACCTTCAAGCAAGCCACATTATACTGTGTTGAAGATAACAAAAACTGCAATATGCAGTCTCCTGCTATAATAAAACGCTGAAATTTTCATAGGAGGAATAATAATCTATAGTCACACTGGTGAAAATGTCAAGAGAAGTGGAAAGCTACCTGGAGAGATATTATATGCATACCTAGATTGCCACATAAATGCTTTTTGTTGACACTGTGGGTTGCTTCCTTTTCAATAAAAGTGTAAATAATTAGAAAGTACTAAATAATAAAACAATGAATTCTAAACATTTAAGAACTAGCTCCTTTTTAGAAATATTAATTGAATTCAGATTCAGAGGAGGAAAATGACAACACTGTCAAATTACAATACTTCGTCAAACAAAACCATATTATGAATAAATTGCTGAGAATACAGAGGGTGTTTACATATTTTTTGTAACGATTTTGATTTTCTCCATGATTTTAAATATTAATTTTAAAATACAAATATGGCTGGCATCAAATTGAAATAAAGTTTAACTGTCAACTGTAACATTAAAAATATTCCTTTCTTTAAAATGTCACTGAAAAATACACAATGAATGGAAGGCTATATTTTTGTGCTGTCCGAAGAGAAATACTCTTATTCAATTATTTAAAAAAAAAAAAGGTAAAACGCATTTAATATTTAAAATATTTTTATATCTAAATATTTAATATTTAAAAGCATGCATAATAAGTGACATAATTAATATGAAAGGGAAGAAAAGTCAAAATTTACATTTGCCTGGGATAAAGACAAAAAATGCATACCCAACAAAGGTACGTACAACTCTTATTATATCTAAAAATCGCATCTCAAATTTTAAAGGAATATCTAGCTCTCCAAAGAGCTATTGCAAAATGTTTAAATATCTTTGTAGGAACTGTGAACAAAATTATAAAATCTGATTTAGAAAGCTAATCAAAATTTAAAAAAAAATTGATGCTCATCGCCTAACCCTGAAACATGTTTTTCAGCATAAGACTATGTGCAAATTACTGTATGGAAATTATTTGGCAGATGAAAAACGGAAATACACTCATGTCCATAAATTAAGGATAATTCATAATCACACAGAAATTGAACTCTTAAGTAAAAATTTCACTTGTAGAATTACCGTACACATATCTTCAAGAATAATACGCAAATTACAGGAAACCATCAAGTGATTGCGATAATACATCACAATCAAAAGAGTGTAAGAGAAGTGTATGTAAGGAATGGTATCAAAGAAGTAAAATTTGTTCACAAGCGTTCTATAAGCTGCTTAGCATCACAACCAAATAGCTATGACATAGAAGACACATGTGGATGATTTTTTACGTGGTATAATTATTGGCCACCTGGAATGTGGCCACACTCAGATGGAAGTATCCGAGGAACATGGAATTCCCAAAGTGTGATCTCTAGGCTTTGGCAACTATTCCAAAATGATTGAAATGTCAGTAGTTGTTGCAGCACAGCCCCCCCCCCAAGTTACAACACCAAATGATGACTGGTACATGGCAGTAACTGCCAAAAGAAGCAGATGGAGCACAACATCAGACTTGTCTCGTCAACTACTTTCAGCCATGGTTATGACAGTTTCAAGGCAAACTGTGTACTGACATTTGGGACAGATTAGTCTATATGTTAGCTGGCCTGTCAGCTGTGTTCTGCTCACGGCAACTCACTGTTGCCAGACTCACTCACTTACCCCTTGGAGATAGAAAGAAGCTGCCACGACTCTGAACTGAATGCAACTCTGCATGTTTGAAACTCAGTAGTACACTGGCCTTTCAGTAATCATGACTTAGGAGGATAACATGAAGCCCCTTCCCGAGAGAAGGGGAAAGTGCACTAGTGATGCACCTGTGAGGAGCATGTGGTTAATGGAAGAGGTTAATAACAATTTAAAAAAGTTTCTTAGCAATATTGCAGCAAAATATTTTATTTTTGCAGAAATTTTACTGTTACTTCTTCCACTGCAGGCAAATTTTACAAACTCATATTTTAAAACTGAGTTTAAGGTAAAAATTATCCTAAATCATCTTTAAAAATTGTTGCAACTTGGAATACTACAAAAAGAATGCATAGGAAAATTGTGACATAGTTTGATTAGAGAAATGTTACAGGAATAATTGCCTAAAGATTTATGTGTATGGTTGCTAGATTTTGAAACATTCTCAAAATTTGTTGATTTTACTACGATAGTTCTGTTATGTAAGTACTGAAAACAGCTAATATTTATAAATTCAATTTGATAATTAAAGTGATTTTCTCTGTATTTTTAAGTAAATTATTTTTAATTCCACAAGTTAAGCTAATAGGACACAAAATTTTTTACTATTTACTAAATAACTTTCTATTTGGATAGCAACTTTACAGAAACAGTTCTTAAACTATACTGATCTGCATGCCAGTATTAGAATAAAGGGTACAACTGATGTAAAGACATACTGAAATATTCAGTATAAAACGAAAGTTAAAAAAAAAAAATTATTCACATACCTGGACTATTCAACATTTCCATAGATTTCTTTTCTCTCAACAATCTAGACAATTTTGTTGAAAGTCTACAAGAAGAAAAATATGTCAAGTTTCTCCAGATCTGGAATTCTAAGTTTACAAGTGCAGTAAAAAAATTTTGGCTTTCTATTTTTAAATTTATTACTGTGACAAAATTGATTTAAGATAAAAATTTTCATATTTAACATAACAATAAGTAAGCAATTAATATCATTCAACAGATACACTGCACATCCAAATTAAAGGATAATTTAAAAAAGCATTAGTATTGCTCACTGATTAAAGATTCCAACCAATGCCTTTACATTAATTACAAGAAGACTGCAAAACTGAACTTGTGTGTACATTTTAGAGCACAAAATACCCAAATTAAGATGCAAGCACTACGCTGCAGAATAGATCTACATTGGGATATGGGAATGTAATACAATGCAAAGTTAACGTGATTTCTGAGCAGGGAAAATGACCGACTCCAACTCCTGGAATTTTAATGACTCCGACTTCGACTCCTTCATATATAAGTAAACATATACACATGGGTACAGCTTATTTTTTTTTTTATCATAAAGGAAGTAATAGATGCTACAAAAAAAATTTATGCATAGCAAATTTTTCATATTAATTAGCATTTATTATGAAATGGAAAAACTGGCATTAGTAATTTCTAAGAAACAGTAAAACTTTGGCAAGATCTTCTTTGTCAGAGGACCATAGATCCGATTTGATAAACTTCAGAACTGTGAAGAGTGTTTCCACACTGACTTGAGTAGGAAGAAGAGCTGTTACTGTTACAGCTACTTCCTTTAACTTTTCAGGATAGATTTTCATAAGTTCTAAAAGAGGTGTCTTGCAAGAGCAATCATATTTATCTATTTCTTCAAATGTCATGTATAAATCTTGTTTGTATTTTTTCATTTTTATATCTAAAGGCTCTTGGTTCTTTATTTTCATTCAGTTTGCTTTAGCCTTTTCAATATTATCCAAATATTTCTCAAAATCTAATTCATCAGTGGAAGAGGATGATAGAGACTCAGTTGCAATATCTGCAGTTTGACTGTCCTGATTTGAATACTCCAGTTGTTCTGAGAAAAATTCATTCTTAATGAAAGTTCATAGATGACTTTCTTTGCCTTTTTAATTTGTTTGTCATCCAACAAAATTCGGTGCTTTGGATCTACATATATTGAACCCAGCATGATCTTATTGTCTAGCAAACTATAGTTTCTCTTTTCCAGGTTTATTGCATGATTCCTTCTGCAATAAACCCTCCATTTCAGAAAGAACAAACATCGGATTCTTCTAGTCTTGCCTCTTGTTAATTCTTCAGATTGTAGGTTTCTGGTGGCTATATACGATATAGAAAGAAGAGTTTCCAATTTTGCAAGATCATTCGACTGCTTTTCTGTTAGTGAAACATTAGGGTTATCTACATCTAACATTCTCATCATTGTTAATCCTTCAGACTGTGGCTTTTTTGTGGCTATATACGGTGTTGAAAGAATGATTTCCAGTTCTGCAAAATCATTCCACAGTTTTCTGTTAGTGAAATATTAGGGTTATTTACATCTTCTGAAAAAGTTCTTAATCCTAACAACTACTATATCATCAAATATGTACTTCTCCATTGCGCTGCTCCTTTTCCTGCTCACTTCCTAAGAATAGCATCAGTTTTGGGAGTTCTTGCTGCTTACCTAAATTCACCAATGAGATTAGTAACTAAATGAATCAGTTTAATCAATAATGGCAAATATCACATCCATCCTGCTCCCTTATATTTATTTACTAATATGTCAATAAAATAGAAAATAACTATTTATTAATGTATATAGAATATAAATAAAAATATTATCTCAGTTTGTAATAATTTTTAAATTCACTTTAATTTCATTTCAAATTCAAACTGTTCAATAAAAACTGGAGTTGGAGTCGACGTGCTTTTTACGACTCCAACTCTGACTCTTTTTACACCAAAATCTACCTGACTCCGACTCCACAGCCCTGTTTTTGAGAGTGATTAATATTCACAAGTTAGAACTCAGAGACATTTAGAAGATAAAAAAAAAAATAAGGGTTAATAGATACATTTATGGGGGGGATACCAACAGATATCATCCAAGATCTGAATATTCCTCAAAGTGTCATATCAAGAACTTTATTATTATTATTATTAAAAAACACAAACATTTCCCCATGTACCATGGAATGCATGTTATGGAATGCATAGCATGACTAATGGGCATAGCTTGCAGGCAGGCATCATCAACATCAGTAGGCTGGCCAGAGCACTCTACTTCTTGAATGTCATAATCCTTGTGTTTGAATTTTTCGTACCAAACCTTCACAGTATCATATGATACAACATTACTACCTTAAGCTGTACACATGATTTCGTGACATTCTGTAGCTGACTTTTTGCAATAGAACTGGAAGTAAATGATGGTTCTAATCTGGTAGCTTGATAGTTTCATTTCAGACATCTTGTACTTAACGATAATATTTTTCTTTTTTTTACAAATTTCACAACACAGTGCTCTAAAGCAAGTCTCTTTATTTTAAATGCCAAAAATTCATTTGACAAAATATAATTAAACATGGCAACGCAAAACTATTTGTGCAGGCAATATGTGCGATGGCAGGAAACTTTCGCTAAAACCTAATATTATGAAAAATGGCAATGTCAATTGAAGGAGAATGAAAAATTGCACAAACAAATCATATATCATGATATGATATCTACAAATGACCCCCCACAAGTATCTCCCTTTAAATGCATTACAGATTATATAATTTATCTTCCTCTTAAGCGCCATACCCCAAGCTCTCAAAAGCCATTTATTATATATGGCTCAATTCATTGTTTACAGAGGAGAGATTATACATTAAAATTAATACCTTACATGCTACATGCAATTCAACTTAATCCACACTGTAATTTATCACATTTGTGTGATATGTAAATTAAATGTTGCTTCTAAGAAAATTTACAGTCAAAGAAAATCCCAAGGTTTTTCATTTGCTTTACCACAGGCAATGGAGTTCCATTGAAAAATAGCTTAAATGCATCATAACAAATGTTTCACTTTTCACTAATCATGACTCTGGTTTTATGAGGATTAAATTTAAAACCTTTTAACCAATTGAAGGTGAGGTTTAGAGTCTCCTGTGTGTGGAAAGAAAGAGTAGGAAGATCCCTACTCTGGAAGCAAACCAAGATATCTGCAAAGCCTATAATATTCCAAGAGACAAGAATTTTAATGTCAAAAGGTTTAAAATTACTAGTCACAGATATGCAGCTGAGATTTAATCTCATGTTAGGTTAATTAGAGATGCCGCTGACCAGAGTTTTCACTAATGAATGACAATGCTTGCTTGCACTGAGAATTTCTGGCATCAGAATGCTTGAAACAGAACATATCACTTCAATAGCTTGGAATGTTTACTCACAAGATTTGAAGTCAACTGAATATGTATGATGTTTGAAGCTACAGATTTGGAGTGTAAAGATATATTCCTACATGCTCTAAGATCAGGAAAATCCTTTTTTCAGAAGAATAGCATGTAATTCCCCAAGGCTGTGATAAATAATTTTTTAAATCCTACGAAGTCATGATCTGAATATTTAATTTTTTTTAAAGGTAACTAAACTATATATTATATCACAGAAAGATTTGCTGCAAGAAATGTTTTTCCATCATTTTAAAATGTTCATGAATTTGACTTTAAATTCAATATTTTAAGATTAATCAAGTGGAAAACATGGTAAGTTATGTGAAATAATGGTTATGTACAATCTGTTTTTAATAACTTTTTAATAAATACCAGTTACATTTTATTTTTTTGTCAATATCCTTTTATTTCGATGAGTAGGGTAAATTATGTTAATGATACCATAAAAAGTATCAAATACCTTTTAAACTCATCTTCCTTTTTTTTAGCCTCCTTTTTTAGCTGCAAATTTTCTTCTTTAAATTTATAGTACTGATCTTCCAAGTCACTTCGTTGCAATTGTGCAGTTCGTTTCACTGGAGTCATCTGATGGCCAGATACTGCGAAAAATATTTATAAATATCATACAAGTTACTAACTAAAGTTCTGAGTAATAACATGGTATGCATACAACATAATTTTACTCTCATACAAACAGAGAATTATTCTTTTCTTAAATGCCAGATACAGTTAAATAAAAGCATTTCCTTTTTTTCTATGTATCTTCTGAATTTTATTTTAAAGATATAGATTTTGGTATCATGGCTTTTTTTTTTTTTTTATTTATTTATTTTTTTAAGAAAACTCTTATTAACACGAATCTCAAGGGATTAAAAAAATCATATGTTAAACAAATTTGTGTTAACCAAGGACTCAAATTTTATATTGGGAGCAGTTTCTACACATTAACCACTTACAAAATACAGTTACATAAGTACTTATGCGTGTCATCATAAAACACTACAATACGACATTAATTAATGTAGTGTAATTTGGAAACATGCATCATTTTTTGGTGAAAAATTTCTATCTACTGTGCTCTTGCAGACAGGAATGAAAATGCCTGATAACTCATGATGAACTGCAATTATGGTTTCCATAAACTAGTGATCAACTCAGGTGTTGCAGCAAAATGTTCTAAAGTGTCCAAGGCATGTAACGTTTTCTAGCAGGTTGGTGACATGATATACTCCTCCCCGTTTTCTTCTGATGATATTTCTTGCACCTCAGCTACCAACTGCATGCTTCACCACGGAACTTATCACCTTTAACTATGATGGTATGACCCTGGGAAATATTGTAAAAAAGTCCAGTTTTGTCCATATTGCAAACATCACATGAGGCACATATTCTCGCCCTTGGTCAAATTCATGAAACCAGTTGTTTGCTCTTTCTTCAGCAACTTCTTTATCAACTGTTTGCTTTACCACAAATCACTGATGATGAAATCGAGCATCTCTTTCGGAACCAGTAGAACTAAGCAGCAGATTGAATGTCTAAAATTTTTGCAATCTTGTTTGCTTTTGACTGAATTATATATAGATCCCATTAAAGGTGTATTGGAGGCATTCATATGATTGAACCATTCTAGAAGTAAAACTTTGACATCTTCATATTTAGCACTAAGATTTGTACCTCAACAAAAAGCAGCAATGTTAAGAATTTTTTCACAATCTTTAAGTATTATGGATCTAGAAGATTTGGCAATTCGATACTTTTAGGCAAAAGTACTTTTCTTTAATGCACTGCAGCCTAATTGTCTAATTCCTCTAGGATTGCCCTCCCCCAAGATCTGTGACTGTCTTTTTCCTTTTGGCCATCAATCACATTACTGTTTGTAATTTAATTTTCGTTGTTGTATCCTAAAATCTACCAGAGTGTCATCTACAGGTTTGCCGAACTGTCAAATAATAAACATAAGTTGGAATGTACTGAAAATTCATATGTAACTAAACTACAGTTCAGCATATCTATGTAAATATTTACTGTAAATTCAATTCATTAAAATTTTAACTGGAATTATTCTTTTAGTATGCTGCATACTACTGAGTTTTAGGAAGAAGAGAAGATACTAAATTGCAAAGGTAGCCAGTGGAAGAAGAAGGCAGTAAGAAATTTTAGCAGATTAATTCAAAATTATTTTAGATCTAACATTATTCATACTAGCTAACTTTTAAAGAATAGAAAAAAAAATCTGAACACAGAATTACATTTGTTGATTAAAGCTCACTGTTAATGGGACTGAATCTCATTGTTGATGTGATGATCAAGATTGTCAAGCAGTATAATTCATGCTGGCTATGTTTCAAAGAATACAGTGTATTCTGCGAATTTTTCAATAAAATGGAATGGAACACTTCTAAATGCAACCCTAGCAGAGAAACAACAGGAGCGAAATATGAAAAACTTTCAAAGTTTGTGTTAAATTTTAAAAAAACGTAATGATGGAAAGAACTGAAAAACAGCTTGTAATTTATGCTAACCAAAATTTGCATTAACTGATAAAACTTCCTTAAGATCATATACACCTCCTGAGAGCTAAATTTTATTCATGTTAACTGAATGTTTGCCTTAAGCAAGTTCATGTTAGAGGGTTTTATTGTGTGTGTGTAAGATATAAACTATGAACGAAAATTATCCACAAAATTACTATCTTCAGCGATACTCCTTTTAATTCCTGTTTTTAATTTGGCTACGTCCCTTTCTTATCTTTGAATTTAAAGCATGTCAACTGAAAATTAATCTGTTTATGTAATCACATCTGCTATGCAATGAAATCTTAGCCAATCAGATTAAATAAATTTTTACTATAACTACCACTGCTACTAACAATGCATTTCTTGCCCCTCCCCCCACTTTTCTTGTCGCTAGTAAACATGCTACACAGTACTCTATTTTGTTCATTGTTAAGACGTAAATAGCTTTATATAGAAATTACAGGGGTGTTTGTGGGATTATTATCTTCAATACTATTAACAACTGCTTTAAAAACAGCTTCCGAATTGCAAGATTCCATCTTTAGAGATGCAAAATGATGAACTACAACTTCATTTTGATTGTTGTCATAAAACTGCACCAATATTGCCAGTATACTTTCTTGAGCATTGCTAGTACTTTCATCCAAATTTAGAGAAAATGCAGTCTCCTTTAAAGTTTTAATGATATTTTCCTTAATAGTTTTTGCGAGCCCATATTTCATCTTATAACATGCAGTAGTCCTGGACATTTCCAACGAGTTTAGTGCCGTCTGATCGCGGCTCAACTGTTTGCAGAGTTCAATTAAATTGGGAGCTACATTGAAAGAAAGAGAATTCTCGGCGATAGTTATTAATACCTCTTGGCGTGCTTTTCTTGTCACTATATCCAATGGCCGAGCATCAGTCTCCAGCAAGTCATCAGTATTTTTTGAATTAGCATAATTACTTAAAGTCATTGAATGTCTAATGCACTTTGAATATTTTATGTGCGTCACAGTTTTAGAATGATTTGTGAAAGCCTTGAATCCTTCCCCACCATACTTCAGCAGTGAGTTACAAAAAACACAATATGCTTGTCCAGCAACATTTATTTTCTTGCACGATGTGCTGATGGTATCCCCATTACCATCGCTCTGTTCAATCCAATTCCACCTAAATGAATTCCGGACACCTTCTTCTAATTGTATAATATCACTATTTATATCGAGAAATTTCATAGTGAAATTCTCTTGCATACATAAATAAAAAAATATTTCAATAAACGAAACGAAAAATTTACAAGTGCATCAATAAATGAAACGAAAATTTTACACAGCAGAGAAAAAAAAGTTGAGAAGCGATCAATGACAAATAGCTAATATGGCGAAAAATCCCCCTTCTCTACTTATTGGCACCACGCCAGGAGAGATAAGACCTTTGAACCCAGAGTCACGTGATCACACATCTGGTCGAACGAAGTCTCTCCCTTTTTTTTCTGCCGCACCTACTTGCTGAAAAGAATCCAGAAGAGAATGTCCGAGAACCAGGGGAATGAGTCACAACTCACAATAAGGAAAGAACAAAAAAGAAGTTTTTTCCCCCTTTTCACGCATTATCACTGCCTTTGGAGAAAGAAAGGAAAAGTTTTCACCACACACACTGACCTCGCGTTTACTGCTTTCAAAGCAAACAAAATTACCCAAATCAAAATAAATAATTCATTATTATTCCTACTTCCTTTTGAATGACGATCCCTGGAATTTCCGGGTATCGAAGTTCAAAATCCCCGGAATTCCGGGTTTCCCCCGAAGCAGCACAAACACCCCTGAAATTATGAGATGTATCACATGCCCAAGAATGATGTGGACTGCAAGAATGTTAACAAATAAATTCATGCATTCTTTTCATCACAGCTATCTCTCTTATTTTCTTTTGTGAGTTGGGGTCTCTTCAAGTAGTTATGATGCAGATAATGATCTCATAATTTAACAGCCATCTTCTAGATTTATGCTGTGATTTTCCAATTCATCCATTCTCTCACTTAAAATTACCACAATTTAATTAGTCCACAAACACCAACGTTCCATGTCAAACTCCAATGGAAAATTTATTTGGTTAGCTTTCAAATCATTGCTTGTGTGATAAATTCAGGCCAAATTACACAAAATGCATCACTAAATTGGTTTTCAATGTTTATAAAGTGAAAAGAAATCAGTGCTTTGAAAATTAATCCAGCATAGTGAAAGTGACTTAATGAGCGTACAGACATTCTGAATCATTGCAACTATGCAGTCCAGTGCTTCTGAAGGTCTTTGAGCTGTGAATTTTATTACTACGGCTATTCTATAGCACAAATTATGCATAAATAGTGTTCTTCATTAAAAGAAAATTCAAAAGTTAATTTTTCTTACTAAATAAAATATGATGATTTTCTTCATATTTTTTCAATTTTATTTGGTTTTTTTAAATTAGATTTTAACAGATTTTGAATAAGTAGTTTTATTCAACTTATATTAAAATTGCTATTTTTTATTTACAGTCAAAAGTCATTAATCCGGACTCGTCATTACTTCGGTGATTCCGGATTATCGATTTTTCCGGATCAGTTTAAATCTGGTAAGATGGCATGCAGAAATTACAAAATTAAAAATATGAAACCGTAATTTATGAAATAAAGAACAATTATGATCTAAAGGGTATCAAAATTTACAAAAAGAAAAAGCTTAATATTTATTTGTTTACTTTATTAAACATTTCTTTCAACACGCGCATAGTTGAAATTAGAAAATTGCAACCAGAAAACTACTTGATGTGTATTCATGATATTTATAATAACGAGGAATTTGATTTAAATCATATCAAAGACGGAGTACACCGAGATGAAATACTACATTTAGTAAGGAATTATAAGCCAAATAAAATAAAAACATCTGCCCTGAAGATAAGGATAGTGCTGACAGATCAATTTCCAATTCATTCATTCGGCGTCCCCCCCTCCGGCCATGAAATTGATAAACATATTTCGGATTTCGAAACATACTTTTGCTTTGTAGATCCTTTACATATTAGTAAATATATATCGGAAATTCTATTTGACATAATTGAAAGTTCAAGCTTACTTTTATAAAATTGCTGTAACAGTCTGCAAAAAATAATAAGCCGGATCCAATTCGAAGATTAAGGAACAACGCAATCTGCAACATTAACCGAATTAGATAATTTTAGCTTAGTTTATACTGTCCATTATACATTAAATGCACATGCGTAAATGTATTATGCGCATGCGCACACGCATATTCGCAGCCGTAAAGATGCCTATGCGCGCGCATGCGCAGAAAGTTTGTAGCTTTGAGGTCATTCTGATTTATGGGTGTCCGAATTAACGACTTTTGACTGTAATATTTTTAAGAAATCAATTAAGGAATTTATTTAGGAATTGGTTGCTATTTACTCTGTTCTTTTATGATGCTAACTCAATTTTTTAAAAAAATGATTTCTTTTTAATTTTTTTTTTTTTCCGGTTACTAAAATTTTAATAATTTTCTATTTTAATTATTTTTAAAAATTTAGTATTATTCTTTTAGGAATTTTGGAATTATTTTAAGAATATTATTGTTTAAAAATTTGAATTGTAAGAATTTAATAATTAATTTAAGAATGAGCTAAATGTAAAAAATAAATGAGGTAATTGTAAAAACTTGGTATAGAAAATGGATATAAAATTGTGTTTCTGGGTATTAATATATAGTACAAAGTCTTTAATCCGGACCTCAAAGCTACAAACTTTCTGCGCATGCATAAACACATAATGCATTTACGCATACGCATAATACCTTTACGCTTGCACATATGCATTTACGCATGCGTATAATACGTTTACGCATGCGCGTTTACTGTATAACGGATGGTATAAGCTAGGCTAAAATTATCTAATTATCTATTTCAGCTAATGTTGCAGATTGCGTTGTTCCTTAATCTTCTAATTGGATCCGGCTTATTATTTTTTGCAGACTGTTAGAGCAATTTTATAAAAAGTAAGCTTGAACTTTCAATTATGTCAAAAAGAGTTTCCGATTCTGGAGCCGCCAAAGGATCTACAAAGCGAAAGCATGTTTCGATGTACCGCTTCCGATAGTGAAGAAAGTGACAGAGAGGTTACTGAAAATGAAAAAATTTCGATTCACAAGTTAGTCAGTATTCTCCACACATCAATTACAGGATTTGAACAGTGGAACTGAACAAGACATTATGTCTGTTTATAGAATTAAAGAGAAAGTATTAGCACAAAAAAGAAAGCAACTTAAACAACTTACATTGAAAGAAATGTTTAATAGCTTTTTTTTGTAAATTTTGATACCCTTTAGATCATAATTGCTCTTTATTTCATAAATTACGGTTTCATATTTTTAATTTTATAATTTCTGCATGCCATCTTACCAGATTTAAATTGATGATCTATAATCCAGAAAAACCCCTAATCCGGAATCGCCAAAGTCCCGACGAGTCCGGATTAAAGATTTTGTACAGTAGTAAATATTAAATATTTGATACTGATTGGTGTTAAATGAATAAAAATATTAATAATTTAAGAAACTGAATAATTATGATAAATTAATTATGAGTAAGAAAATTAAAAGTAAAATGTACCTCAAAAAAGCAGTTTGAAACTATGTTAAATAATGTTTAAATTTTTGGATAACTGTATGTTAACACAGATATGTTAAGATAAACTCTGAAGGCTCCAACCTTATGAAAAATTACTTAATTTTTTCATATATAATTGCCATTTTTATTTATTCATTTTTATATACATAAAGTGAGACAGGTTTAATTTTTTTTTTTTTTTTTTTTTTTTTTTAATATAATGGAAAGTTTTAGTGCAGTTCAAAAAGGTCAGCTGCCTTTAAACAAGGAACAGATGCTTTTAGAAGTAACCAACAAGCACCGCATTTAGTCCATAAATATATCAATTTGTTAACATGGAATTTACTCATAAGATGGAAATGTTGGTATTTAGAGAAAGCTGTGGAGTCTTCCAGCTTTGTATAAATTCCATAAATTAGAAATATTTTATTAAAAAGCATAATTTCATAAAACCATTTCAAATGATGTTAGATAGAATGAAAATTAGTTATATTATTAAATTTTTAAATTTGTTGTGATTATGTAAAATAATTAAGAGATATACTCAGAATTTTTATATTTATAACATTCGGTGGAATGTTTTGAAAAGTCTTCCTTAAACAGATATCATATTGAAGATTCTAAGCTAAATTGTGGCAGATTATTTCCAAATTTGATTTTCACTCAATCTGCTTTCCTTTTAACTGGACATCTTTTTTTCAAATTATTATTGTAGGGTATGTGAAATTCTAGTTACTAAATTTATACAACATGAACATAGAAGTTATTCATTTTAACCTGAATTTGAATTTTAGCATATTATTTATTTTTTTTTTTTAAATTTCAATTATATAATTAGAAGGATTTTATGACTATAAATCATAGGCAGAAACTTTGATAGCTTTATAGAATGCTAAAAGCCAAGTTACCTTGCATCATGAATAGAGATTTTTATATGTTGCTGTATTTAAGCATCCCACAACCATTAGCAAGAAGTTATGCAGATTCGCTTGTAGAGGACCAGACTATTTCTCATCAAAGTTTACTTTTTATTATATTGTATTGTATTTTGTTTGTTTCTGCATATTAATTTCTAAAGTACATTTTACATTGCTTTACAGTAAGAAAATATGATTTTGGTTTATTAAATAATTACTTTTAATAGCATTCAATGAATATGTAATAGAAATTTGCTGGCTTACAGTGAATATAAAACTTTTTATGACAAATTATCAAGACCAGAAATGTTATTCAGTAATGATATTCAAGTAAAGATTCTCAAAAGCTGTGAACTTTTTTAATTATTTCCTGCAAACCTTTCAAACTGAATACTAAGTTTTGGCATTAAGTGATCAAAAGTGTTATATTTAAAATTTAGATAGAAATTTTATGATTTTGCATAAAACTATTTCTCATCATATGAAAACTCTCTACGCTTTTCATAAAAAGGCTTTTATTGCCAAACCTTCTTTCTTAAAGGGGAAGGTATGTAAGATATAAAATATGTTAAAAAAATAACCAACAAAATCACTAACTATAGCAAAAATCCATTTAATTCCCGTTTTTAAATTGGTTTCCCCTTCCTGTCTTTGAATCTAAGCACCATCTGAAAACTAATCTGTTTATGTAATTTTGCCTGCAATGTGATAAAATCTCAGCCACAGATTGAATAAATTTATATTATAAATACCACTACTATTAGCTGCGCATTTCTGTTTTTCCCCACTTTGCTTATTGCAAATAAACAAGCTTCACAGTGCTCTGCTTTGTTCATTATTAAGACATAAATTGCCACATAAAAAGATATGGGATGCATCACACACTAAAGAATGATGTGAAGTGCAAAAATGTTAACGAATAAATTAATGTCTTGTTTTTGTATAAGTTATCTCCCTTGTTTCTTTTTGTGAATTTATGCACTGGGGGTTTCTCCAAGTAACTGTGACACAGATAAGCATCCATTGTTTAACGGCCATCTTCCATATCTACATTGCAATCTTCTAATTCATCTATTCTCTCACTCCAAAACATTAATTAATTAATAATGCTTAACTGTGTTATTGATAAAACTTTTTTACTTTCTGCTTATTTTTCTCTCTTTTCGAGTTGTTCCCTAAAGAAGCTATATAAGATTTTCATCATGTATATTTTCTCAATATTTTTTTTGCTCAAAAAATTGCACTTGTTTGAATAAAATAAGTGATATCTGATGTACTGCTTACAGAACATTTTTGATTATTTGAATGTCTGTAAATTTGAATTTACATTTTATGTAACACAAGTTTGAAAGAGTAAATATTTAATAATATTTCAGACACAGTATTCTTCTGATGATTCATTGTACCATCAAGGCACAAACTGGGCCAGAGATAAACATTTTGCCTCCCAAACTGTAGGAGCTCTAAACTCTACTGTCCAGTGCCACCCTGAATTCTAAAAGTTTTACTCCCCTCACATTGTGATTGTGATTGCATTGGTTGGACAAGCCCTGGACACAAATTCTACCAAAACATAGTATTAAAGAAGCAATTCCTTTTAAAAATTTATACTTCTAACATGTTATTTTTTAAATGTGCAGTACTTCAATTAACTGACAATGGTGAAAACTAAAATATGTGTTTATAAGAGAAGGATAATGATTCATTAAAAAAATTACACAAATATTTTCTCCCCATTAAAAATGTCTGAGGACTATATAAATTAACTGACTTAAGAAGCTTCAGATGTGGTGAAAATGCCTATGAATTATAACAACATATCAAATTACCTAACTTAATACATTTTTATTCATGGTATTTAGGTAAGACTTACCATGCATATCTGAAGCCAAATGTAGTTCTTTCACTTCCTTAGTAGGAATAACATCCATTTCAGGATCATCAGCCATTTTTAATATTATTAATCATTCACTTCTGCATGATGTGTATCTGCAACAACAGAAGTAATAGTATGTTTTCAAATAAATTACATAAAAAAATAATATTTTGTCTAAGATATATCATGAACATTAGAGAAAATATACAATCAAGGGCCAAATTTACTAGTTAATGTTACAATACATTAATATGAGAAACTATAGACGACGTACATAATCTAGACAAATCTAATACAAAATTTATCATTTTTAAATTTTTAAGAATGAAAATAATTATTTTCAGAAATTTTGAATGGCTTAATTTTTGGAAACATCAACATAATATTTATTCAATGCAATGCAAGACAGTTTCAATGCTAAGACAACAAGACTATTTACCAAAATTTGAAAAACAAACTTTAAAAAAATATATTATACGTTAAGCTGATGAAAGCAAACAACAATCCGAAAAATTATATACATTAACATTCTACCATCATATCATACACACATAAATGAAGAAGTTTTATAAATAAAAGGAACATTTTAACATCCTCGACCGGTCACAAGAGCTTAAACAACCTAAATGTAAACAATAACAATCAACAGAAAGACATGTTGCCAATTTGACATTATAAAAGTCTAACTCTTTCAAAAACTATAAAAATCTATGAACTATACGTTTGAGAAAATTTGAAAATGAAATGATTGTTTCTTTTATGTGTTAAGTACATTTAGTCTTCGATTCACATCTTGACATGTGAACAGCAACGAAGGAGGTTAGAATAGAAGGCGGGAGAATTCAAGAAATCAAGATAGACAATTCCAGTTCTTAAACCTGTTGTCTTTTCTTCAGAACGCGAAGTTGTGAAACGACTCATTTTCTCTGTTCATGTGAAGAATTGTTATGCAGGTAGTCAGATACTTTTGAATCTGCTTAGAGAAAAATATTGAATTCTTAACGGAAGAAAGACTGTGAAAAATATTTTGGCTCATTGAACGATCTGTAAAAGATATTCTTTAAGTAGTATAGAAACGATAAGTTCGCCTGATCCTGAAAATCGTGTAAAACTGCTGCGGACATTTAAAAGCCCCAAACTTATATTCCTGAAGGAGATGTCATAAAGTCCATTTCTCCATCGATGTTTATTCAAGTCATTCATGAATGCAGTGTTCCAGATTGTTGGAGACGGCTGCTGTAGACAGACGATTAAGCTGTGCGAAGTCGACAGAAGGAGCACCGCATTTGATTGGACTATTTTTTATTATTCTTATTTTTTTCTTTAACTGCGAACTAAGCGGGGAAATTCCCTTTTCCCTCAGTTACATGTATGCACTAGTTAGAGTAATGTAACGTTTTCAGCTTGTGTGAGATAACCATATCAAATCTTTATATTAATAATCCCTGCTGTGATTATTAAATTCGTATCCTGCACGTTGTAGCCCTGAGAGTTGCAACATAGTAAAGCTGGAGTAGGCGACTTATATATATACGTAATATAGTCCTGTTTACCAGAGACTGTTCTTTATTTTTGATGAAATATGGATATTTTTGATGAAATATGGATATTTTTGATGAAATATTGATATAAAAGTCTTGAAAGCAAAATGAAAGTTGCTGAGAACAGCGTTTACGGTATGCTGCAACGATATAGCTCAGAAGATCGAAAACAAAAGTTTAACAAGTGACGAAGTCAGTACGTTGGTTAAGCAGATTCAAGACAAATTCACGCGTTTGGAAACAACTCAGAAGAAGTTTCGAATTTGTTGCTAAGTGATGGTACACTTCAAGACGAATATTCCGAAGATTTTTTGAAAGCAGAAGAACACCGAGAGAAGTTCTGCTTGATTTGTTCGCTGTTAGAAAATGCAAAGAAGGTTACGTAAGGAACAACAACCGAGCAAAAACGGAAATTCAAGCTTCCGAAACTCGAATTTAGGAAATTTAGTGGAGAACCGAAAGACTTTCTTGCCTTTTGGTCCCAGTTTGAAAAAATTCACCAAAATGATTCTATTGTGGATGAAGAGAAATATCAATATCTGTTACAATGTGTGGTAGCAGATTCTTAAGCGTCAAGACTGGTAACAAGTTTTCCGCGAACTAAAGAAAACTATTCAAATGTGATTGCACAACTTAAAGAACGCTTCGGAAGCGATGAACTTTTGGTTCAGATTTATGTACGGGATCTATTTTCCATAGTAATGAAAAATGCTGCTGGTCGGATTAAAGTAGATTTAGCTGAAATTTATGATTTACTCTAGAGCAAACTTATGGCACTCGAAAGCCTCTGTACAACTAAGGAAAAATTTGCAGAATTTTTAGAACCACTTGTTGAGTCCTGTTAACCAGAGACTGTTCTTCGTGCTTGGGAAAGAAGCCAATGGAAGATACTGCGTCACAGCAAGATAGTGCGCGTTCTTTGGATAAACGTTTGTGCTTTCTTCGAAACGAAGTGCAAAGTGAGGGAATGATAAAGCTTGCTCGTAGCGGGTTGGGAGCTTTACGTTCTGCACATTCGCATCTACATGCTGACGTTCCGGGTTGCTGTGCAGCTGCTGCCTTGGTAAATGTTCAAGACAATACAAGTAGGCAAAATTATTATTAAAAGTATTTTTTGTGAGAAATCCCACAATTCTGCCGAATGTTTTTCTGCTCGCAAAATGTCTTTAGAAGATAAACGAAAGCTTTTGGTGCAAGAGCGCGCCTGTTTTCGCTGCTTACGATTTGGACATAGCTCATGGGCATGCAAAAATAAAGTCAAATGTTTAATTTGTGATAAATTTCACTATATCATTATGTGCTCAGATGGCGAACCTGTAAAGTCAAATGAAACGGACAGTACTGTTATTTCCAGTAATGTATTGTCTAATCAGTCAACTGTTAAATGAAAATGTGTATTTGCAAACACTTGTTTTAAAAATAATATTCGAAGGTAGACAACTTACAGTTCGTTTTGGACAATGGTTCTTAGAAATCTTATCTCTCAGAAAGGGTCATCGCATTTTTGCAACTGCGTCATAAATCGAAACAAACCATTATACACGGTTTGTTTGGGGGAAGAGAGACAAGTCCTCATTCCCATTTAGTGTTTGATGTTAATTTAAGAAATTTTGACATAGAATTTGACATTAAAGAAATTCTTTTTGTTTAAGGATGACTATACGGTAGTTTTTAACCCTTAGCCTGTCGAGTGATTATCTGCGAATCTCTTTAAAACTGTCGCTAGTTTTGGACCGAACTTCCCGTAAGATGTCGCGAAAATACCCTAACCGCTGAAATTGTCGACAGTTTTTTGTTATTTCCCATCCCTCCCAGAATTTTACTTCAATGATTCCGCTAATGAATGGATGCATATATTGTTCAGTACCTGTGAGCTCTCAAGAGAATTGCAAAGGCTAGACTCTCCTGATGATCGTCTTATGCCGCGGCTACAGCTGCGAACTTGAAAGTTTCCTTCCCTTAAACAATCTATCTCTACATATCTTCTCTACATATAATAAAAGAAAGATCTGTCTGTGTGTGCGCGCCTTTCGTTCGCACTGCGCGTAAGCTAATTACCCACGGCTACGAATTTGGTACATAGGTACATCTACACAAGAGCCAGTTCACTCGAAGCGTTTTTTCGAAATTCGAATTCGAATTTTTTTTATTTCATGTTTTGTAAAACTCGTGTCATTTTGAAACATAATGGCTATAGGAAAGTGAATTTTACTCTACACACTCCATTTTCACATCGTCATGAAACGTAGGGCACTTAGCTATTTTACGAACTTAAAATAAATTTCGTGTTTCAATAATCGATTAAATACGAATTTATATCAAAGGGAGCTTGACACTTTTTCAATGGGATTTTTCTAAAAAGTTTATTTTTAAAATGTCAGATTTTTTTTCTTTGATTTTTGACACGTTAAACTTTCATCCTTGCGAATGCTTTACAAAAGAATTTTGGAAAATGATAATATTTTGTATTTTTAAAAGATTTTTTTAAATGAAGCTTCCGAGTACATTTCTCACATCTCACATCTTTAAAAATGGATTTGGGCACATTTTCCTGTCTTATTGTTGTTGATAGATTTTTTGATGAATCGCATCATTTTGAATAGTTTCATTCTTTTAAATATGGGTTTGGCAACAATTTTTCATCGTATTTCTTATGTCACTGTTTTTAAGAGATTGGCATATTTCATGTCATTTTTATATAAAATAATATTTTTTTTATTTTTTATTTTATTTTTTTTTTTATTTATTTTTTTTTTTGGATAAGTGTTCTGTGGAGTAAAATTCTGCGCGAATTTTATGTTTTTTGAGTTGCTTTCGTGTCATTTTTTTGCTTATTTCACTGTTATAAGATATTGAAAAGTTTACATGATTTTTGTTCTTCTACAGAAAGTTCGTTAATTTTTTAATTAGGATAATTAATATTTGTATTAAGGGATATACTTATTTCATTGTAATTTTTTCCCTTGAAAACATAAGATAAAATATCATTAATTATACTTGCTTTTCAGAATTTTTTGTTTTTTGCATTCCTTTATTTATTTATTGCTCATTTCACTGCTTTTTTAAATTTTGAAAAGTTTTGACTGATTTTTTTAGGAAACAAGTTATTACCTCCTTTATACCATTTGAGTTCTTAAGATTTTGCAAAGGGAATTTGGTTAATTTATTTATAGGATAATTAATATTGTATTAAGGACTTGCTTTCATTGTATTTTGTTTATACTTAATAACCTTTTTATTAAGTTGTTCGCAGACTAAAATCCTACGCAGTTTTTAAATTTACGTTTGAGTCCCTTCAGCCATTTTTCCGGTACTTAAAAGCCAGACGAAGGCTCGAGCGAAGCTGATAGTTTCAAATAATGGTTTTAAAATTTACCCCGTTAAATTTTATTATTACGCATTTTTAACCTAAGTAACCTAAATCTGTATGTCACTGATTATCACCGAATTCAATGCAGACTGATTAACTGCACACTAAAATTATATTCTGACAATCTGTGCATTTTTTTCCTTCTGAATATTGCTGAAACATTTCTATTTTTCCAATTTTCTGTATTTTTTTCATATTAAAAATCTTTAAACCTCTGCATTTCTATATTCCTCAACTGCAGGCAACTATAATATTTTAAATAATTTCTTTTTCCTTAATATTACGTAGTTTTAAGATATAACGAAAGTTTTGGGGTTTTAAGGTGGTATATTATATGATTTGCATTTACGTCTCATATCCTTCAAGATATTCAGAAGGGAATAACTAAACCGTTTCATGTATCATAATTTAATTTTCAATTAAAAATCTTGCTTCCTGTCCGAACACTATTAAATTTATCTGAATAGAAGGTGAGACATATTAAACAACAACGCCATTAATTTGGAAGTCAAAGAACAAAACAGCGTTTATTTTCCATTTTCACGGACTAGTTTCGATGGTACCGAACCATCATCTTCAGCTGCAAAGCGCAAAAACGGATAAAATAATGAAATTAGATTGGAAAATTTGAAAATAACGGTGATTTTTTTTTTTGACTTCCAGTAAATGTTGTTCGGCTTTTATTGTATCTTAATTAACAAAGCAATGTTGTTACT